CCTTAAAGAATTTACTCATAGCTAAATAATTCAAACCATCAGAGCAATTAAACACAACACATTAGACTGCCAATGCCTTAGCTAAATCTTTGACTGTTTCTGTTTTTCCTGTTCCTGCAGGACCTTCAGGTGCACCTCCGTATTATAAATGGAATGCTCCCATTAAAGTACGATAACATCTGTCAGTCAAAGGTGTAATAACCAATCTCATGCTATTACCCAAATATTCATATCCATACAGTAAATCAGCGTTTATCATTCTTACATTACATTTCATTACCTATTCAGTCCAATAATACCTTAACTATGCCATCCATTAGAAATTATTAATATCATTGCAACCAATTTTAACCAACTATCTGATAACATCTCTTGCATGAACATCCAACACAACCAAAGCTCCCAATGTTAATCTCTCTAAAGGAGATAAATCCTATCTAACTAAATCTACTATGTCTCTTAGTTCATTTATTAATAATTGTAAGAATCCTGCCAATCCCCCATGAGAATTATCTTTATCATTTATTGATGTTTCACTACCTCTAGTCCATCTAATCATGTTAACAGCTAAAACAATTTATGCTGGCCATTTTCTAACCCAAGCTACTCTTTTAGTATCTACATCCAAATGAGATGCCTTCATAATCTTTTTAAGAGTATCTATCATAACTGCTTCAATTTCGCATAACCATTTTTCAACATTTCCTTTTTTATCTCCCTCATTGACATTTATGGCTTTTGAAAAAGGTACTTTTTCTTTTTCAGCTGAAATCATGGCTACTACTTCTTATCCATTAACAAATTCCAATAAATTGATGGCTTCAAAACATTTATTAATATGCTTTTATACAGTTTCAGGATCCTTAGTTTATGCCAGAATTTCTAACAATTCTTCATCTGACAAAAAGTAAAATCTTGGAAAAGAATTACGTTTAGTTTCTAAATACTCACTTAAAGATTTCTAAATCTAATCCAAAGCTTTATTATCTTAATCAAATTCATTTTTCATCTTATCACTATCCACTCCATCCCATAAATTTGGTTCCTTGCTAAATTGTTCCATTACAGTTCTCCAATGCGAATCCACCTTCTAAAATTTTAATGTTTCTTAAGGCATTTTCTTCTTTATATCATCCGATGTAAAGATTGGCTCTAAATACATCCATCCTCTTTAACATTTTATCCATCCATCTAGGGTATCCTAAATCAATACTATTTTGTATTCTAAAGCTTAAGCCTTGTGTAAAACTGCCTTTATTTATGGCTATGCCTTTAACATCAATAAGATATTGAATTAATCATCAAAACATTACACTACTTCTTCAAGAGACTTTAACACAAATGTTCCAGTCTTCTTATATGGGATCATCTCAACCTTTTAATCTTTTAACTTTTCTTGTATTAAATTAAGATTCTTTTCAATTTACCATTGCTTTTCAGCTCTTCTTGATACTTCCTCAATGTCACCTCTATGATTCATCAAACCATGTGAGACAAGTGTATCTAATGATAAGTCATCATTTGTTTCTTAATCAACGATTCCAACAATCTTCCAAATATCCTTCCACATATTCAACTTGATTTTCATGGCTTCTGTAGTAAGTAATTCAATTAACCATAACTTCTCTTTAAATTCATCAATCTAGCTCTTTAGTTTTCTAGCCACTTCAACAGCGGTATCATCTCCTGTATCTGAGAATGCCTTAATGAGTATATTGACATTTCTTTAATTAGTTCTAACTTTAGAATCTATTTCAGTAAAGTTTAGTTTTAAAAATGATCCAGTACACCAATCTCCTTTTTCCATTTCAAATTCAATGAAATAAGTCCATAAATTATAATAAATAGCAAAGTTCTTAATTAGTTATTCCAATTCATCATAGACAGATTCTGGTGATTTAAATAATCTTTCTCTTTCATTAAAGGATTCTACCTTCTCCTTAGCCTTCTATAATCTTTCATTTAATAACATCACTTCAGTGGCATTTTCTTTTGCTTTGGTGTAATCATCAAATTTCTAAACCGTTAGATATAACTCAGCTAATTCTCTTAATTCTCCTTGAAACTTATCCTTTTCATTATCCAAATTTTCTATAAACTTTTACTCTTAAAGATTGGCTTTTCTTTAGCCTTCAATGACATGATTCTTAATTTCTGGTGGGAAACTATACAAATTCCAAAATTCATATAAATTCTTGTCCTCAAATGTATGGTTCATTTCCTCAAATATTGTCAAATAATCATATAGGCAATCGACTTCTTGTTTCTTTTTAGCTAAATTAACTTCATGTTCAGCAATGTAGGTCTTTAACTCAACTAATTCAGCCTCATTTTTTGGTTACTTTGTAATTCTTTCACTCATATCATTATACTCGACACTAAGACGACTAATGTTGTCTGTCACTATTTCTGAACATTGTTTCAAAATAGAAGACACAAATTCATTTGCCTTTTAAATTAAATTTTCTTTGGCAATTCTAGTTTTTATCTAAAAGAATTATTCGTTTTTCTCATCCAAACATAACCTTTGTATCTACAATTTAGCATTTATAAAATCATTCAATTTCTTTTAGATCTCATCCTTATCCAAAGATGTTATAATTGGTTTCTTAGAAATATCTCCAAATAAACTCTTTAATATGCTTGAGACTGGTTTTTCTAAAAGAAAGCTGTATTCTCTAAATCGTTAAAGCATTTCATTTGGTTTCTGAAAACCTATTTCGATGTACTCCAATATTTTGTCTCTTGCCCATTTAACCCAAATTTAGTCCTAATCATTTTCAATTTCATAGGCTCTTAATCTCCCTTTAACCTCCTTTTTTTAATCAATATCAACGAGAGGAACAAGATCTTTTTCTAAACGATTAAATGAATTAACTGATTCTAACAATATATCTAATGGTTTCAAGAGAGCAGCTTGAATAGCTTGTAAGCTTGGAGAATAGTAGATGGCATTAGTGGGATCTTCCTCAAATAATGGAGTATCATCTTACTTGACCTTCTTTTCATTTTTCTTACTCCTTTTGAAACTAAGATTGACTTCAAGGTTAAGAATCATAAGTGGGTAATCATTAATCCTCCAATATTCTCCTTATTTAGGAGTAGTGAATTTCTTAATAAAATCAACCCAAGCTATGCAATTCTATTTGACTACATTCTCTCTTATGTAATTAGTAAACATGTAATCAATTCTTATAAGTAACTTTTATAAGTCACTATCTAAATAATCTTCAGTTTCAGTCTAATAGAATCTATACTTTTCTCTTAATTTGTCTTGTATATCACCAACAATGGTACTCCTCCATTAAACCTATAGAGTTTATCTTCCTTGCACCTAATGTTGTTTCTGTTGACTTTCAAAATTGGATAGAGTCATTGGAAGTGACTGATGATTCAGTAATACATTTAGTAAGGGGAAGTTTTGATATAATTGAGATCTTGCAGTCAAGGCATTAAGTGTATTAACAACAACAGTCAATTTAGAATAATGCAATGATTAGATAACTTATCTAGTAGGAACAAATGCCCAATAATCTTATTATTTAATGAACGATTTAGCAGATTAACCCTATGATTCATAATTGATAATCTTGGTATCACTTCCAAATTATTTGCACAATCCATAGAATGGTTTTTTGATCTACTCAAATCTATTTCTGATTCTAAGTTGGATCCATTTAATATCATTTTTGTTTATTTCCATATCTTTAAGGATCGAACATTTCTTCATGAGCATAATGTACTCTTTTTCTACTTGTTTGACTAGATCTTTTTTAAGAATATCCAAATTTTGCAATTGTTTTCTCTTTATTTCTGGATCAGTAATCATCATCTTTGATTCATCCTTCAAAGATTGTATTTATGGAAATCCAGGAGCTGTTTTGCTCGGATCCTCCTTTGTTAGATAAGGTAATTCTCTAAAATAAGTGAATTCGTCTATCTTTTTTTGCATTTCAGTTGATAAAATGGATGTCATTGAATCAGGCAAAGAATCAATGTATTTAAGAAATCGATATTCGTCATCAGCATTTCTTTATCTTTATTTGCATAATTCAACTCTCTATTCGAATTTAATAGGGTCTTCTGCAAAGAATAATAGGGATAGTCTTCCAATCCATTTGATTTTGTTACTTCTCAATACCTTCACTTCATAGCGACCATTTTGATAGCCAAGAACTTCAACGTCTGTCCAAATGTATTTGTCAGAATGATCAAAAAGAGGACACTTGGCATGTGGAGGATTGGTTTTACGACATAATTCAATCCATTGTTCAGGAGTTTTGTCTTCGTCCCAGCAATCGTAATCCTTCAATTTTTTATTGGCCATTCTGCCTCCATTGGAGAAATTTTTATTCTTTGGAATGTCTTCTGGTTATGAGTCATCATCATCTAATTATTGAATTAAGTTAATTACACATCTAAAATTCTGTGAATTCTTCTCCCAAGGTTCCTTTAACTTCCACATCGAAATTCCTGCCTGAATTTATGAAATTGGGAATGAAATTTGATCTTTTGGAATTGAATTAGGAATCGATATCAAATTTCAATGTATTAGACTAAGAATTGAAATTGAGTGAAGTTAAATTCTTGATCTAACCAGTAAGTAATGGCACTTAACTTTTCACTTGTCTAGTAGTGCGTATGTTTATCTATCATTTAGGATGTAAATTAGAATTACCTTTTTCTTCAACCCAAATTATGAACTAGTCAAGTTGCCTTCTGTGGGTTGTGAGTTGTCTCTATCGTTCAATAGATTCATCACAAGTTTCCTTGAATATATGGGAGTCACAATACCTTGGATCTTGAGTTTCAGTTTCTTATTTAATTCTTTCCTCTACTTCCTGATGTTCCTTAAAGGCCGATTAAAAATCAAAGGAAGGAGTATTGATTTTTTGTATTGGGCCTAAATACTTTATGATTTAATTTTACCCAAAGTTCGCTTGCCCTTCGAATGCATTTCCTTTCTTTCTAAAATAAAATAATATATTACAGATACACAAATTTAAATGAGTTTTTCAGATGATTCAGAAGATGAAGAAGAAATCAAAAAGCGACTTTATGCAGATCTAGATTAAGTGTCAGTCAATGATAATTAGACTGAAAGGAGTTTCATATTTGAATAGCATAATTATGAAACCCATGATTATAAGCAATCTAAAATTTGGTTAGAGTTTATGAATCAAAATAAACAGAGAGAGGAAATGTTGGACAAGATTGAAAACGATATTTAGTTGATGAAGTAAATTAATCAAGGCAATTAATGTATTGAAATTGAAGATTACAATGGGGATCGTCTCAAAGTGGAACTAAATGATCAATTGCCAAATGAGATTATTACTTAAATCAAAGAACAACCCCAACAAAAAATCATTTTACATGAGGAAATCTTGCTTCAAAAACAACCCACACCAATCCAAGATTTACAAAAATCTAGCGTTTCATTAACAGTTAATAACAACCAAGTCAGAGCCCCATCTGCTAAACAGACAAAACCTAATAAATAAAGTCTATAAGATCAAAAGCTAGAATTAATGTATCAATAAAGAGAGATGATGCAAATGGAAATTGAAGACAATTATTCTAGAGAATATTAAGACTATTGGATGAGATAGCTCTTTAAAAATAGACTCTATACTCTACCTGAAGAATTCCCTGCCTTGAAACCAATAGCATTCCAAATAAAAATACCAGATTTCAGTATACCGGTCTTCAAAACTCCTTCAATCTAAATTCCTTAAATATTGGATTTAGTGGAAGACAATCTCGCTCCAAGTAACACCAAAGAGTTGGTTTTCACGAGATTACAGAATATTAAGTTTTAGAAATTGAAATATGTTGAAACCCAACAAGAAACCAAGCCAAACAAAGAACTCTAATAATTATAATAGATTGATTCTGAACTCAAATTCAATATTGTCTATTAGGATTATTTGAAGAACCAATAGTAATTGGTATTGAGTGATACTGTTGAGGATATTTATTGGAAAAAAGTGAATAATCTGCATCAAGATTTAATGAATACGTAATGCATTGTTGTTATTTTAGGATTAATAAGTTAATCCAAAAATTTCCCAAGTACTCTTCTTATCGATCTCCTTTTACTGAATACGAACAACCTAAAACGAATTTAGATAACATTAGCATTGCAGAGGACAATTCTAACTTGAACCTATTTCAATAATATATTCAAAATAATCAGGTATCAAAACATACCAGGAAATTGGAAATTAAACTTGAAAACCTAACCACACTTGATGGAATTTAGGAAATGAAGGATATAAGAAAAGTGATCCTATCTTGCAATCAACTCAATGACCTTACTCCTCTTTCAGCATTAAATAATTTAATTGAAGTGGATCTATAATAAAACAATATTCAGTCCTATAATTAATTAGGTAAATTGAGTAATCTAAGAATTCTACGTCTCGAAATGAATCACATCTAAGAAATGAGTAAACTTCCAAACTGTTTATTTCTTGAAGTGTATTCTTTAAAGGGCAACAAAATTCACTCAATGACTAATTTAGAAAATTTAGAGTTCTTGAAGCAATTATACCTTTATAAAAACTAATTAAAGAGCATTGGGAATATATCAAAGTGTTTCATTTTGGAGATTCTTGATTTAAGTTCAAATCAAATAGAAATTGGATTGAATGAGAACCCTTTTAAAAATAACTAATGTCTACGTAAATTAATTCTGACTAAGAACAAAATATAGCATTTACCAGAAATGAGACTGCTTTTATTGAATGAGTTGTATCTGAACAAGAACAAACTGGAATCCCTTGATGGAATAATATACTTACCCTCATTGCAGGTATTCTATTATTTTATAAGATTTTACAAGTTTAAGATAACCAATTACAGACTTGCTACGATACTGAATATTCGATCTCTTACATTCCCAATATTTAGTAGATAGATTTATCAGGCAACCGAATTCAATCCTTTGGCACCATAATCAATTTCATTCAAAGATGCAATGAATTAAAACAAATCAACTACCTCGAGAATCCGTTTTTGCTTGGTTTATCTGAAGTACGAATTAACCATTATACTAGGAAGTATTTCAATTGTATCGATACATGTTGATTATTAACTGTCCATAGTTGATTGAAGTCAACCAAGCATTATTAAATAAGAAGGATCAAGAATTCTTGAAGGACAAATTTTACGGTTTTTTAGAACCTCCTTTAAGGAGATCGTAATAGTTAGATTTGGAGAGAAGTTTCAATAAGTTAGTTAATCAATTGAATAACAACACTTAAATAATGCATAAGATTAATGGGTTGGAGCAAAGGAAAATCACGAAAATTCATCCTTTTACATATACAGAGAGATTTAAGATCATTCAAATTTTAAATGATTTAACGTTCATTAAGAACAACTTCTAGATCAATGTTGACGTTGATAAAGAGATTTCTGATTTCAATTTAAAATATTAGAAGTCCCTATTTAAAGTATAGTCATTGTTAATTAAATGGATTTACAGATTCAAAAGAAGATAAAAGTATTATAAATCAAATGTAAATTAATTGATAATTGTTCAATCCTTAATAAGGGGATATTTAGCTAGAAATTAACCAAATGTAAAGTAATTTAGGCAGAAGTATAATAAGAAGAAATTGCATATCTATGCTATTAGAATTTAAAAGGTGTGGAGAGGATATATCATCAGGAAAAGATTGAGGGATAGGATGAAGAACATAAAGTTTGAAGACAGCGAATTGGATGATTTAGGTGAGATTGATGATGACTTTTTAAAATAAGATATTGATCTTAATTTCGATCTAAGAATTCCATAAGGATTAGATTTGTAGCAAATTTTCAAATAGAGTCAAAATTAACATCAAATATTATAACAATAAATCACTTAATAAGCACAATAAAAAGTTTAGTAACAATAAGTGCCTTTTAAATAATCAGCTTCTAGCACCAAGAAACCATAAAACAACGTTGAAGTCTAGATGAGAACTTCTCATTTATCAGGGACTCAATCGTAGTCTCAAATGGGGCAAAGTAAATACAGTGAAAAAACTACAAAGACGGATTCCTTACCAACAATAGGAGAACATACTAAAGTAAGACTATGTTTAGATTTAATGATAGAAAATAATGCAAAATTGGAACTTTAAGGATCCTGCTGTGGCCTACACAATTGCTTGCAAGTTGCAAAAGGAACAGAAAAGAAAGAGTAAGGCTAAGGAACTAACTGCTTAGGAGAGATTAGAGAGATTTAAGAAACATTGAAATAATTTTTATTTTGCTTATTAAATGGGAACATCTGCTCAATCAAATATGAATTCTACTTCTTTCTTCAAGACATTTAGGAGTCAGTTTCGACCATTAGAGATTAAGGGAGAGAAGATCGATGGACAAGTTTATGTTTGCGATGCAAATTAAGAGATGATCATCGAATATCCAAACAGAATCCTCGATTAGGAGTCGGATGAACTCTGGCATTAATCTTAATCTATGATTCAACATATTTAAGCCCCCTACATTATCAATTATTATGGGAGTGCGGAAAGACAATCGCAGGAAATGTGTTCCTCATACTCAACGATATTCAGTTATTACGAGTATATTCCCCATAATTTATAGAAGTATGTCATTATGTTTAAGATAGAGAAATTAATGAAAGGAAAGATAATCGAGAGTAGTTTGCAGAAAAGGAAATTTGGTATTTGTTATGGTCTTTGTCCCAGGCACTTTATGAACTAAAATAAAAGGGTTACAATCATAAAGACTTGAGACCAGTCACTGTTGCATTAAAGCGAAGTGGCATGGTCAAACTCTGTCCCATAGGCGTCCTGTAAGACCAAAAAAACTCGGTTGCTAGGTTTGTAGTTGAAAATTAATAAACTTACATTCCTCCTACATTGAAGAAATAGTTGATAAACTAATCATAACCATAAATCAATTGGAATAAAATAGATTCTTTTGCCTTAGGACACATAATACTTGATCTTATGATACTTGATGTACCCGTTTTGGTCGATAATCAATAAATTTCGTAACTATAGATGTAATGTTATAATCGCTTTTCCTAACAATTAATTCGAATAATGGAACATCTAATGTTAGAAACCGATAATTAACTACTAGTAGAGGATGTTTACTACTTATTGAAACCCTATTCAGAAAGAATCAATAACTTATAAGACTTTTAAATTAATTTTGAAGATGTAAAATAACTAGCAATCCCTTTAAATAATATGTCAAAATTAAGGCTAAAATCAATAATAGAAACGTCATATAAGCAATCAGAAATACTTTACGAATCCTAACATATTGACAACACTCAGTATTAATAACAATTAAAGGTCAATCTCCAACAGCAATTAATTATAGAAGAACAAAAGCAGTAATTACTACTCTAATAATAAAAATACCAGTAACAACTTTAATTTTAGCAGCAAACCTCAAATCAATAACAATAAGCTAATACTATCTTGCAATACTAAATAGAACAAAAATTATAAATGCCAAACAGTTATCCAAACAGTTAAACAAAGATGAGGGAATAATCCTCCATTACTTAGTAAATAATTCCATAACCTCCACCTGTATAATAATAGCAAGTCATTACCCAATAGCAACCTCCTAACTTTATATCATAATAGCAATTTTCTCCTTAGCAACACGTAGTAATCCCAAGACCTCCCTAAACACAATAGCAGTTAATTCAAAGCCCGGATTTAAGAAAGTCCGTATCTCCATAACCCTAAAAGATCGTTAATTAGTAGCCTCAATTACTATAACGGTTATTAATGCAATCATAGCAGATTCCGTAACCACAGTAGGCTATACCCTAAATACCTCCAATATAACAATAGCCATTGCCTATTTCAACTCCCATATCACCAGCTAATCCAATCAAAATACCACAACAGTATTATCAACCCTAAGTACCTCCTGTTCCACCTCCTCCTGTTGTATAACCAATTTAAAATGTATATGTGCCTCCACAACCCCCAAATATACTGTAATAACAACCAATCCAAAGACCTATTGTGTAGTAAAATGCTCCTGTTCAATTGCCTGTTATTTATTTGAACAGACCTCCTCCAACAAATAATTATAATTAGTCCCCTCCAGGTTAAAAAATTCCAGTTTAATTAGTATAAACAGTAGCTCCAATGGTATATTTGTTATAATAATATTTTGTAGAATGACTAATATGATAGGGAGATCACTGTTTTGGAGTACTAGCCTTAAAGAAACCAGCCATTAAGGGCTTCTAATCAAGTTCCATAGACATAATAAAAATATTCCTCGCCGTAAACGAGATAAGTAAGTTGATTGGTTTAATGTTAGTCGAACAATTTTGATAGAATTCGTAATGTCATTTAAGATTCAGATGAGTTGTTGTAATAATAGCATAAGTGAAGAAACTTAACATTATATTTATTAAGTAGATACAGTCAAATTATTATTCTTAATATTTAATTAAAAAATTCATTTTCCATATAATGATGAATTCTTATCATTATAAAAGATGTGTTGCAGTAAGAATATGTTTTAATTGTTGTGTTTTTGTGGAATACTGATAAGATATCGGTGTAAGTCATAGAGGTTGTGCATAAATAATAATAAATATTAGATTTTCTTATATAAAATATGAGTATTTCTTGAAATGAAATGAAAGCATATAAATATCAATCACATTTTAATAAGGAACTTCTCGTTTAGATGTATTTTTAGAGAAATTTATCTTCAAATAAGATTAACTATTTAACTAATTCCAAATCTTAATTTGTTCGACTTATTAAAGTGAAGAATTCATCAAGATGCTGAGCATTTCTTCCAAATTTCCTACGGAATTATTTGTATATTTCATTGATCCTTTACATATCTTCATTAGAAGTAGAATTCCATATCTTATAATGTGATAAATTCGATTTTTTAAATTCTATCTATCTTTTACCTAGGAGAGTGGCAGGCAGCATTGCTTGATGCATTTTTCCAATGGGAACATCATCTTTTTGCGCCTTCAGCATGTTAACAACATCAGGTTGTAAAGAAGACTTCTATGCTGGCGAGTTATTATCACTTATTTATGTTATATCGCTAGATTGTGACATTGTATAAATGAATATAATTTTATATTAATTTTATTATTGATTTAATAATGAATTAATGAATACCATAAGATTAGATAAATTGTATACATATATCTATATTATATAATTCATTTGTAAAAATTAAACTCCTTCTCAGTTTTCCTAACTACAATTTTGTAGGCTTTATCGAAGTCCTTCTGTATGACAACATACCTGTTCTTCCTTACAGCCTGCATTCCAGCTTCTTAACAGATGGCAGCAATGTCAGCATTACTAATCTTATCAGGTCTGTTGATGAAAGCTTCCAAATCAACTTCCTCTGATAAATTCATTTTTGATGTAACGGTTTAGAATATCAGTCTCTTTTATCTTCTGTCAGGAAGAGGGAATTCAATTTTCCTATCAAGACGTCTAAAATATATAGTTAAATAAAACCTACCCAGGCCTGAGAAGTGCTGGATCAAGAGTATCAGGTCTATTGGTAGCCATAATCACTTTAACATTTGTACTTTAATCGAAACCGTCCATTTGATTGAGTAATTCAATAAGAATTCTTTAGACTTCTCTATCAGCACCTGTTTGGGCATCAAAACGTCTAAAATTTGAATAAGTTGCTGAATTACTTTGTTGCAATAGAATCGACTTCATCAATGAAAATGATGCTTGGAGCATTCTCTCTTGCCAATCTGAAAACATCTCTAACCATTCTCGGTCCTTCTCCCAAATATTTCTATACGAATTCTGATCCAACAACTCTAATAAATGATGCAGTGGTATGATGAGCAACAGCTTTGGCTATCATTGTCTTTCCAGTACCAGGAGGGCCATACAATAAGACACCTCTTGGTGGATCAATACCAATTTGTCTATATAATTCAGGACAAGATAGTGGCAATTCAATGGCTTCTTTGATTTCCTACTTCTATTAATCCAAACCACCAATATCTTAATAGCTTACATCAGGTTTTTCTTTTTATCAAATTGATTAAATACCTGTTACATGCATCATTTGAATTGAAGAATCTGTTTCTGTAGGCAAAATATCAACAACGCTATGTGAATGTCTGTGTAAAGCAATTGAGGTATTGGGTTTCAATTTTTCTCGATCTAATGTGCTGAGCACTCTAACATAGAGAGTAGATCCACCATTAGAGTTTATCAAAGCATAATTCTCATTCATCATTTCATTAAAATGACTATAGATTATTAGATTCTAATATATACCCAACTGTTAAGGGGACTGCCTGGATTCTTTTCAATTCTTCTCTGCTTCTCACTAATTCTCTTTTCAATCTTTTTTGATCTTCTTTCAAATATTATTCTTAAATGTCTAAATACTCCAATTCTTGTTCTTTCAATTTGAGCTATTTGAAGAGTTCAAGTTCCTCCTAGGTTAAATTCTGAGTTTCCACTTCCATTTAATTTCAAAATTATTTAATTAATCATACTGGTGACACAAATTGTCATCCTTATAAAGAAAGATAAAAAAAAATAAAATATGTTTATATATGGACTTCGTGTGGATGCTTTTTCAGTTTTTCTCCTGGTCTATTTTTTACTGCAGCGAATGATGGAAAGATGTAGCTTCCTGATATATGTAGAAAATTTTAATTCAACTTCAAGTTTTTTGCGAGTCTCCTATAACAATTCTTCAGTTTGTTTTTTCTGGGATTCCAACTACTATTTTAATTGGCGCTTTCTCTCCACTTCAATTTCAAGGTCCAACTCCAACAATTTATATGAGTGAGGCAAATCTCTTAAGCCCTTTAGATTTTCAGACTGGATGTATTTTGTATAAGCGTGATGCACCTCAACACCACTCTCTTGATACTTGTGCAATACAACTATTCGATGTATGTTTACAATACCCAATTTCTCCCGATCAACCTATTGATTGTATTTCTCATCCTCCAACTATCTAATTGCTTCTGCCTTGAGCCCAATTAAATGCTGCATAGATAATAATGAGTCCCTGAGGAGAGGATCAATGAAACATATTTTTTAATTGTAATCTAATTGATAATGTAGAAGTTTACTTTTTCTCTTTAAATCCCAGACTTTCTATTGTAGAGTTTTAAAAAATAATTTCAGATCTTTCAACTCCTAGGTCTTCTGATCCTCAATTATTTGCAGTTCATATTTCAACCCCTATATTCAGAATAAAAACGATCTTACATTTAGAGCGTCTAAATTAGTATTGTTCTTTATCATTATTAATTTAATATAAATATATATATATATTATTATTATCATTTCACTATTAATTAATATTTCTTCTTTTATTGAATGATTAAATAGGGTTCTCTTATAGTAAATCCAAATCCTTCTATTTAGAGAACCCATTCATCTACTGTTGTCTCAAATAATTTAAATTCAAATATGGAGTCGTGGAAATTTATTAAGTGAATGTTTGATTAGATGTAACTCCGACTTGATCTTCATTCTATTGGACGAACTGATCGTTGACCAAAAAGGGCGAAGCCAATATGGATCCAATTATGAAGGGAGATGTAGAACTTACTTTATACATATTGGCTAGTTTAGGCAACTGCAAGGATGAATTTTAATGACAGTCTCCTTCTTCAATAATTCCTGGAGACAATTGTCTCAAACATTGATTCTCAAAGTATTGATATCCAGGAGAAGTCAAACATTATAACATCATTAAAGGGGTTGGATTCTTCAAATCATCTTAATTAAAAGTGGATTGTAAGTTTAATGCCAACTTCATTTCTTCCGGATTAAAATTCATCTATTATTGTAACTACTATAATTATTGTAATTATTAATTTTATTATATTTATTATTATAATTATTAAGATTATGCATACATTTACTATTATGCTTATTAAACGAAAGATTACTGAGATTATTGTTCTTCCTATTTTATTATTTTTGATATGTTTTTTTGTTTTTTGGCATCTGCCTTCTGTTCCTTGTTTCTCATTCCCTTCTTGTGTCTGCCTCTCTTGCCAATTATGCCTTACTTATTTGAATCCATATGCACAGAACTACTAATTAAATTGTAACATACTTCTTTCTTATGTATTGTTTGATCATCTCTATTTCATCACATTCATCATCCTTGCATATTTTGTGTATTAATGACTTGTATCTTATGTTAGTGTGTAATTCAAGTACCTATTTTTGACTTGATTCTCAGTTCTTCCATTCAATTACTGTGAAATTTACGACCACTTTTTTCCATTTTTCACAACGCTATTTAAAACAATCAAATCTTCTTTGAGCAACCACTGTTCTCTGAGAATAAGCTTATTAAATTACTTATTTAATTCAGGATTTAAATAATTCATCCATCTCTCTCTAATTTATTTTGGTGTTCGAATGTGCCCTTGCAAATTCTTTTCATAAAGAGACACCGCAATCTATGTCCAAATATGCTTATTCTTTTGACTATTATACACTAAGTAATCCACTCTTACTTCATTTAATTCCTGATGAAATCGTCTTCCTCCTAAGTCCAATTGGTAGATTTCATCCATGGATTTATCAAGGTAATCCATCTTTGCTATAGGATGTGCTTATCTATTTTAAGAATATGCTCAAAAATAAGCCAATCCTTCTCATCCTAAAATATAATCAATTAAACTTCTACCGGTCGAATGGCATTTTGATTTTACTTATCAAAATATTTAACTAGGAACCATATTAAAAATAGTTTAAAGGAATTATCCCATTTTCGTTTGCTTCGTAGTTTTTCATCTTCCAAAAAGCTAACTTAGAAACTTTAGCAAAACCTTTAGCAAATCTGATCAAACTTCTTGTTATGTGGGTAGATGAACTCTCCTCTAATCTTGAATTACTTTCTATAATCATCAGAAATGGGAGTTGATAGCCTATCACCTAAACTCAATAGGAAGGTCTGAAATTCATCCATTTTTAATTATAATTATAAGATTGAGAAATTATTATTTTATTATAAGGTAACCTGACAAAAGTGATAGAAACAACAAATAAATACCGATTATCTTATTCATCTTAAATGTAAATTTGAATTTGTAATGGTTATGATAATTTGATAATTAATTAGAAATAAATGCAACAATTCTCTAACTAAACACCTATTTCTGACTAACCTCATATTCAGCAATCTAATTGTTTTTTTTAAACATCTGATAAACAAGACTTAAACCCATTTCAGTAATTAGACATTGACCTTCCATTCCAAAATATTTTTGATCTCTCCATATTCGAGGCCAATCAATCTCAACAGGAATAGCCAAACAATTAAATCAAAGAGATGGTTAATTCAATGCTTGCTTCGATCTCCAACAACGAGAAGATCTTGGGAACTGCATCTGCTGCCAGCATAAATGATGATCAATTTGATGAGTAGTTGGACGATCTAGAATTTAGAGAATACCAATACGAACTATATCAAAAGGCTCTTAATAAAAATTGTATCCTGCACCAAGAGAATTACAAAACTCAAGTGGCAACCTTGTTGATGTGGAATTAATTGTATAAAAATCCAAACAAAAAAGTTGGAGTTTTGGCAACTACAATTCAGAAGGCTGAAAACTTAGCCAAGTACATCAAAACCATGCTCCCGATATTGGTTGAAACATATCTAGACGATCAAAGCACTTTGAAGAGGGCACAAGAGTATTGTGACACTTTATAAATCATACATCCTAATAAATGTACAGATTTGTGGAATAACTTAGTTTGGCAAATAATGTTGAAGGAGAGCAATATATATGTGATGACAAGTGAAATTTTTGTGAACTCTTTAAGAAGAGGCTATTGGAAATTTACAGATTTTAGTTTCGTTTATTTGGATGATTGTTAAAACACTATTTTTGACACTGCTTATAACCATCTCTTTCAAGAGTTTTATTTTCCCTTAAAGTCATCACTTTAGGTACCCATTATTGTTGGTGTGTATAATTCTATGTATGCAAATAATAAATTTATAGCTGATGAATAAATTCTAAAAGAACTAGTACAATTATGTGCTAATATGGATGCCCGCTTTATAAATATTAATATTGAGGCTGTTAAATAGAGGGTCAAAGAAATCAAAATAACTACCTCTACTTATAAATCCTATATTGATGAATATAAATTTCAAAAAATGCTTGAGAGCAATGTTCAAAATGGGAAGCTTAATAGCTATCTCGTTGATAAACTGAAGAAGCATAACTACTTGAACAAGTTAAACGAATTTAGAAAATGTCTCAAAGAATTTAAAAATTCTTAATATTTTGGAAATTTCTCTGAGGTAATAATAGCCCACTTCTTGGAATAAGTTTTGCTAAAACAGGCTTTGACCTTGTGTTATGAACTCGGTTAATACCCATTCTGTATAAATAATTAATTACACTTTAGATTTGATACTTGAATTTATTGCTCACAAACTAAACTTATACATCGACTCTAAAAAACTTTAACCTAAATAATTTAGGATACATGACACCTTGAATATGGAACTACATGATAACATATCACTAAAAAATTAAAACACGTTATCCCCTAAAGTTAAACTTCTTAACAATTTACTCGCTTAGACTTATGAAAATCCATAAACTGCTCATAATCGTATTCTTATTTATGTAAAGTACTAACACTTAGCATTCTACCTCCTTAAAACATTGGAATTTGTATCTAAATCCACATCCTAAGGTATCCTTTCATATTTAAATAGATTTAAAAATTGGGATGATCGAGAAAACCAAAGAGGAATCTGATTAAAAAAGAGTGTAAACAGATATTACTAACATTTTTTTAGAACAGTATTAATTGTTTTAAAAATTTCAAATTCAGTTCTCAATTTCTGAATTGAAAAACGAATCAGATTAGTTACATTCGTTTTTTAATTTAGATTAATTAACATATCAATCTAAAAAACATTATGAATTGAATTAATGTTAAGTAGTAATTACAACTTAATTGGATGTAAACCTTGCTTTTAATTTCTAACAATTAATTTGCTTTTCTCCAATACCTCATTCCGTTTAAGATCAACTGATGCGTCAAATGAAGGATTAACAGTTATAAATCATTAAGATGAAAGTTGATGAAAACACATTTAAAAAATAAAAGAATTAACCCAACTTTTAATTTAACTTTTACAATCCTCAAAAAGTTGAAAGAATTATAGATGAATGTACAATCCCCTAAAGAGAACATATTTTACAAAAAGCAATCGATAATTTATGTATTTATCATTGATATAAAGAAAGCAAGGCTATCCAAAACATGCATTATGAGTGTTATACTATACAAAAAAGCGGAGCTTTGCTGAATTCAAATTGGGCTTGTAATTTGATTGAAAACATGAATCAGTAAATTAATTTAGAAAAAAATGGTAGAAAAGTCTCTAAGTATGCTGTTTATTAGGTAAAAAACGGATTGCAAAAATAGAGCGATCAATACATTGCCTTTTTGTTACTCCCAAATTAGGTTTAGAATGTCATTTTTTATGGCAAAAAAGCTTAAGGTGCTAAAGAAGCAAAAGCATCAGTGGCTTTTTAAGCTGTCCTTCAATTATTTTAAAAAGGATATTTTGATTGCCATCTCAATTCCTATATCTAGAATGACATAGGATAAAATATTGGAGCTGATCAGGTGGATCATTCTGTAATTATGGTAATAAAATCTTATTAATTAATAGACAAAAGAGCAATTAAATATCCAATCCAAATACTGTTTAACTATTAGATAAAAATATAACTCTATTTTAAATGGCATGGTTAAAGAGATGAAATACTATTACACATCTTAAAAGTCATTGCTTGTTAACTAGTAGCAAGAACCCATTTTTATTAAACAAAAGTGCAAATTTCAGAGGGAAACCATACAATTAATATATCCTTAATAGTTTCAAGAAAAATTGAAATAATGTTAGACATTCCTAAAAATGCTTGATATCAATTTACGGGAAGAACAGACTGTATCCTAAGGTGATTATTTGGAATTATATAAAAAGTATATAGAATCAATTATATATGAAGAGGATTTGATATCAACTTATAACTAACATTTTACCAGAGCAGGCTCATGTAAAACATCATATTATTATAGAAATCTAATTCAAGATACAATTTAAGATTGCAGATTATGGGTTAATTATAATAAATGATCCAATTAAATTTTAATTAATAAAGAAAAACTTCATTGTTAATTAATTTCTCTTGGCCTTGAAATCAAATTTATTTAAAAAAGTTATTGAACCAAAATTAATGATTAAGTAAGACTTAGAAGAAGCAAATTAATACAACGCCACTCCCAATTATATATTAAACAATTTAAATCAATTTTACAATCACATAACTCCTGTAGTATTAAATGTAAAAGGATAAAATTAAGAACCAAAACTCATTTTAAGGAAAAAACGATAAGAGAAAATCACAAATAATGGATTAGTAGTGTAAAACTTAGACTAAATAATCTTAAACTCCTTAAATGTACCTGCCTATAAATTAGAAGATTTAATGTTAGGTTCATCCTACTATAAATTTTTAATTACAATTTAATTGTTGTTAAACTATCCAACATTAGATTCTAAGATTTAAAAGCAAACTATTAAACACTTTAATAGTATTACATATATTAGAAATTGTTTAATGGAGTCGTAGATATTTTTATATTTACATATTTACGACGAGAGTGATATTTCTAAGGCTTTGATTGGAATTGAAAGGACTGATATTAATTATGACTTATTGTTGTCATAATAAACAGGAGAATTCACTGAATCTCCATTTAATTAAAAAGATATAACGAAGATATCAAATTTAGATTTCAAATAATTTTTATAACAATCCTTATAAATTATTGAAAAAGAAGATTATTCATAAACCAAAGGCTTTGATTGGATAAGGGTTCTTAATTTGACCAAAAAGTTAGAAAAGTAAATAGGATCATAAACTGATTTGAAGTCGCTCTATCCTCAGCGCATTTGGAACAATTAGAATGTTGGTTAGTTAAAATCTATTTACCAAAAGTTTGAGGAAATAATAAAATATCAGTTTAATAGTTTTGAATTGTTATTTTAGGCTTTGACTGATGTTAGTTTCAAGATGATTATAAATAATGAGGTTTAGTAATAATACATGGAGAGGTTTTAAACCAAAGAAGATTTTCAAGGGTAGATGTCTGAATCAGAACTTCAAGATTATATCAAATAAATTGATTAGATGAACAGCATCGCTCAAAGTAGCTATTAGAACTCCCACTTAGCAATTCTTGGAAAATCATTATGGGATTATGCTATAATGAAGATCCTAAATGAGATGAATTTGGGTATTTATTATCTTGACTAATTAATAGACAACACAAGTCTTGTGACTTTATATAAAATTCTTAAGGGGATCTCATTTTTAACTTATGCAGCCATAAAATTAAGAATTCACTAATATTTAAATAGCAGTTTCTAAAAATAATTGCAAAGTTTCGTAGATTTAAATGAAAAGAGCAAAGATTAATCGATCACTTTTCATATTAGTTCTATACCTTATAATGAGAATTCTACTATGTTAAGGAATGCATTTCTGGCTTTGGTTGGAGCAATTTACATTGATAGTGACTTCGAATTGCCGTAAGTTCTTGAGTGGATTAAACTATTATTTAGTTAGATTAATGTGGTTGAATTGTATTAACCAAACTTTTTGCAAAGTAGATAAAGGTATCAATTTTACTAATGGTACTAATAAATATCACAATTAGGTATCAAAAACATATTGGAAATCCATTCAACTTTGATTTGATCAAGATCCCCCATTAAGATCAAAAGAAAATTGGTTAAGGAATATTCTTATACATGCCATATGATCAGAAGGAAGGCTAGATAGTGAATATAAAAGGAGAGAAGTTTTATGAGATAGCTTAATTACACATTTACGCAAAATGCAAGAGTCAGGCGTGGGATAAGTTATATGAATTAATTGAACATTGAATGAATGAGAATGATATTTATAATAAATTATTTATAAAAAAATGAAACAACCTTCTGCAGATATTCTTGAGATGGAACATGCAATTGGATATAGTGGAAGAGTAAAATTGAATATAAATATAAGATACCTCGAAGTGTGATCTTGCATCCAAATGGAGTTGAATTCATTTGCATTGCTGGAGCATCTTTGATAATAACTGATTTAAGAGATGCTCACAAATAATCATTTTTATAAGGACATGATGATTAAATCACATGTTTAGCAGTTTCAAACAGAGGTGAATTAGTTGCATCAGGATAAAAAGGAGACAACTCTGATGTTATTATTTGGGATTATCATAGAAAAATTCAAAAATACAGATTATCAGAACATGATTATGAAGTAGTATGCGTAGATTTTAGTCATGATGATAGACTGCTCTTCTCATCAGGCAACCCAATGGATAAAAGAATATTCATTTGGGATTGCTAAACAGGATATATAGTAGGATCAGTCAATCACACACCTGAGCCAACTACAATAGCAAGATGGGGTGGATTCGCTAAAGATATTAAAGGTAGAGATACACCAAAGTATCAATTTGCAACATCTGGAAATAAATAAATATGTTTATGGAAATTGGACCCTAAATTAGGAGTGTTTGAGAAGGAAATAATCAATACAGGAAATTTGGTTAGAGATTACATTTGTATGGAATTTTCAAAAAATAGAGAAGAGTATCTTTTGTTAGGTACAACATCAGGAGACTTTTGTGTATTCTAGATGAAAAATAAGTAATATAATTAATTAATTAAATAGATTTTTCAGTCATTAAATTGTAGTGGCTGCTTTGGGAGTAATGTCAATAAGATTCGTAGATTTTACGAGGTTTATAGTTGGAGCAGGTAATGGTACTTTGGCAATGTATTAGATCACAGAAGATAATAAAGTATAATATTAATATAAATTAGATAAATTAATTACACAAAACTGATTTAGGAGGAGCAGTTAATTCAATAACAGTGAGAGTAGATGGTTTAGAGAGTTTGATTTCAACAGATAGAGGACTGATTTTTAGATTCAACACAAACAGCTTTTAGAAAGGATTACATAGTGAAAATCATACGGGGTCTATTTTGGATATGAGTTATCCACCAGGAGTTTCTGATAGATTTGCATCAGCATCTGAAGATGGAACTATCAGACTTTGGGATATTAGTGAATATTATGTGATTGCTAAATGTTAAGCCAATGTTAATGTTGTTCCATTAAGTTTGGTTTATAGAGATGAAGTATTATTAAGTGGATGGGCTGATGGTAAGATTAGGATGTTCAGATCTGACAATGGTTAATAAATTTGGTAGATTGATAATGCTCATAAGACAGGAGTAACGACACTTTGCATCTCGAATAATTTGAAATTCTTCTGTAGTGGTGGAGGAGAGGGAGATGTCAGAGTTTGGGAAATGAGAACCAGAGAAATGGTATCACATTTGAAAGAACATACTCATAAAGTTACTAAAGTTAAATTGATTGCTAATGAAACACAGTTACTGACTTCATCTCGTGATAGAGCTTTGTTGCAATGGGATTTGAAGACTGAAAAAAGAGTTAGTGCTCATATTCAAAGAATGGGTGGTATTAATTCATTTGACACTGTTCCTAATACTTCAGTTGTTTTCAGTACTGGATAAGATAGGAAAATTTCACTTTGGGATCTTAATTAAAGTGAAGTCTAAAGATAATTTGAAACAAGTGGCAATCCAAAAAAAGGTTAGATTTTATTTTAATTTAAGGTGATGAATGTTATTCAATTTGTCTATCCCCTAATTTTAAATATGCTGTCACTGGCGGATCTAATTGTTCAGTCAAATTATGGGATCTATAAACTGGATAGTAAATCTCAGAAGGATTTGGACATTCTGGACCAGTCAACACTGTGTAATTTGCTCCAGATGGGAAATAAGTTATTTCAGGTGCATAAGATGGCGTTGTTATTGTTTGGAATGTGTTCTTATGAAATCATATAAACATATTATATAATTCAATCAAATTTATTTATACTAATAGACTCAAATAAACTGATTATCAAAACCAAATTTAAGTCAATTAATTAAATAAAAATGCTGAAAAGACCTCCTGTCCCCAAATTTCATGAGGAATGCAATACTCCGAAAAGAAATTAGGATATGTACGAACTGATTTCCGACATCATTTTCAAGATGAATCTTAATGCAGAAGTAGAATAAAAATCAATCTCCATTTTTAATGTTTTATCAATTCCAAATTCCTATATGCATGCATAAGCCATTGTATATTATGCTATGAAAGAGTTACAATATAAATTGCCTGAAACTGATGAAAAACTGCAACACTTGGCTAAATGTATTTAGTAACAACATTCAACCTTAATTACAACTCTATGCCAAAAACTCAAAATAGATTCAAAAGCTACTACTGTTTGTGTCACTCTCTTAAGGCAAATGCAACCTCTCATTCAAAAATTGCCAAAACCTGTATAAAATGCAATAGTAGTAAAAATAGCCACTGATATCATATATCTGAAATAAGATGGTATCAACATTAATTTAATTGCAAACTCAGCAAATATTACAACAGAACAATTGCATTCCAACATTAACAGAATCAAACCATTTGCGTTCTAAATCATTTAAAATTTGTTCAATTATTTCAACCATCATTCTATTTGATTATATTTTTATGTTTATGTTTTTCTAAATATATATCTTAAATGGATATGTTAATTAATTCAGATATATATAGATTATATAGTTTTAATATTTACAGCTTTTTATTAGGATATTAAATCATAAAAGTATATTTTAATTATCAGTTCTAATTTAAAATATTTATAAAAACTGTTAAATAGTTTAATTTAATAAAATATATTAAATTTATACTAAATTTCTATTGATATAGTTAGAGATGCTAACACCTAATTTATTTAATATTCAATTAGTTTTATTGTGGATATGAATTAATTAATTTTATGGTAAAGTATTTTGAGTATAAATTTTATGAATCGTATTGACACTTTACAAAATTAAAAATTTAATATATTAATAAATCTTGATTTTGAAGTTACTTTAATCAAGTTCGCAAGTGCAACTTGGATTTGTTATGTAAAACACATGCTCTAAAAATATAAGTAGGAAATTATTATAATTAAATTAAATGTCGAAAAAATATATAAAATGTAAATAAATTATTTTTTTTTAATTAAAATATATTAACAGTTTATTATTTTTATTATTATTATGATTCTCGAAATTGTATTTAAATTATTTTATAAACATTTCCTTTTGTTACTTTTTTAGTGATTTGAATTTATTAATATTTCTGTTAGGCAACTTCCACTGATCTTAGATGCAGTTGACATGAGGTTTTTAAAAATTTCAAATTTTAAAATAATATATTATTCAATATATATATCAATATTTTGCTCACTTATGCTTCAACAAATCAGAAGTATCCTGGATACATTTAAAATTATTGTTAAAATCCTTAGTTAACTGGAAATTAATGATAATTTGGATATATCTAATTATTTTGAGCATAATTCATATATGCATTAGGGAAACTAAACATACCATATTAGTTTCCATAACATATTTATTATGGTTAAATTTAAGGTACAGAGAAATGGTTATTTTACTGTTGAAATAAGTTTGTTGTTTGAACAATCTAGTTTGAAGATTCCTGACTTATTTTTGTTTTTTCAGTTAAGGAGACATCTAAAAAATCAATAGATTATGTTACTTGTAGCACTGATGGCATTATCAAGAGAGAGAGGTTCCACTTTTGGTTTTTTCAAATTGGACCCTTCTGTATTCAATAATGGAGTGTCGATTCTCTTTTAAGCTTCTTTCTTGGCCAAGAAGTCAGACATAAATTGTGTAACTGTCAAACTCAATTTTTAATCTGGGTTCTGTACGATAACTTTGAGTAAAGATCTCTCTTCGTTTTCTTAGACCTGAAATTTAATATAGAAAATTACATTAAATCGTTTCAAATTTCTAATGATTCCATTATATTAGTTTTTGATTTAATTTTCACTTCTCCCATTCATTTCACACTGTATTTTAGACCATTTTTTACCATAATCTAAAATTAATTGGATGAGTTTAATTTTTTCCTCTTTCGTCCAACTGGACCTGGAGATGTTTGGATTTAGAACGTTATTCCATCTTTCTCTTATTTGTTTGGGGTATCTCTGGGTAGAAGACAATTAATTAAACATGATAGTTAGTTCTGTCCAATTATTTTTTGAATAGTGTTAACTAAAATATATAAAAATCTTACCTTGCAATATCTGTCAAAATCTGATCTTCTTCTTTGGTCCAAGGGGAAATTTTTAGATTGGAATGAAGTAAGGATATCCATTTTAATTCAACCAATTACTTATCTACACAGAGTATTTTCGATATATACTCCCAATCTCTGTCATTCTAACAATAAATAAAAACTATTACAGGAATTAGGTCAGATCTATTTTAAGACATTAAGTATTTTGTCATGCACCAGATAAGCAGAATTTTGTCTTGCTGATGCCATTTCTTCCTGTTCGAATCATTAGTTGATCTAATTATAGTAGGAAGATAACAATACTTTGAAAAAACTTCTTCGTAGTATTATTTCATTTATTGGTCAGATGGAAATTGGCTGACTCGAACTTTTACAAATTATTTAACAGTTTCTTCGTCAATTGGATTTAAAATCTTGATTTATTCGACAAAATCAAACCATTCCTTGGGTAGTGAGTCTTTTATTTATATCATAAAATTAAATATAATCAAGATTTGTAAAGATTAATTGGTTTATAAATATTGGTCAACATCAATAAGATAATTTAAATCAATTTTTTAATTGATTGTGTATATATATATATTTATTAACATTGTTCTATTTTTATCTTAATTATAGTCTGAGTTTATTATTAATGGATAAGATTTTTCAAATTTCTTCTCACAATAACTTAATTATTTTCCTTTTTTCAAATGCTCATGAAGAAAATTACATTATCAAATTATAAAATTTCTTACTTGAGAAATATCAAACCCCTCCATTACTCCACTGTCTCTCCTAAAAAATTAACTATTCCATTAAATATTTGTAAATCCAAAAAATTTCGGTCATTCTCCTCTAGGAATATTTTCATCAGTTTTTAATCCCTTCTCTGGTACTGTGCCCCTTTTCCCTCTCATTTTTCTTTCGAATTCTGCCTTCAAAAGGCTAGTTGCTATCCCAATCACATAATAATATACAATTCTTATCGATCCTATACTTACCCTGAGACTCTCGAAATTCAAGGAAATTTATTAACATTAAGGCAGACCTAAAGATGTTGACTAAAATTAAATTATCTACAATTTAAGAGAAATAAACAATCAAAAATCTATCCAATTATAAGTCTTCCAACTCCCTTAAATCATGAATATTTTTCCAATTATTTAATTTTTTGTTGTAAAGAATTTATAATTATTCCATGAACATGGTTCAGTATTTAAAAACAAATAACGATATATTTATATATAATTGTGGTGAGATTAGCAAAATTAAAACAAATTCAGAGATTCTTTGACATCATACATGTTATTTAACATTAAATGAATTTTTTATTAAAATACTAAAGAAATTTCAATATTTAAAAACATTATTCGATAATTATAAAAAATGTTTATTTTCAAAAAGCCATTTTATAGAGAATTAGAAACTGAAATTTAATAGCTTTTCTCTATGTCTCATATATTCATGGATGTATAACAGTGATAATAAATTATCAATGCTTATTTTTCTTCACTATCAATTTATATTGTAAATTTTTTATATAAATTGTTTTAATAATATATAATTATTAATTAATAAAACATTTAGACTATTGTTTTTATTAATTTTATTATTTTTCATTTCAATAAAATTCAATATAAGCAGTACTAATTTCACTTCTTGTTTTTAAAAGGAATTCGAATACTCCACTATCAGTTCTAATAGTTTTATTTTTTACAGTGAACATTACTCATTTTGTATTACTTAAATGGAGTATTACAAATTGATTCTTGTTTATAAAATTAATCAATCAACATTTCCTTGGTGAAAATTTAGTTGGAAATCTCGGATTAAAATAACACCCACATAATTTCTATCTTTAATAGCCTCTATAAAGTTTAACGTTCTATTATGTTTTCATTATTTTATCAAGTTGCCTATTTGAATAATTATGAGTTCACAGATCTTCATTATGTACGATAATTATTAGTATTATATTAATTTAGTATCTGAGAAAGCTAGAATGAATAGTTTATAAATTAATTATTAATGATATCAAGTACTAATATGTTATGATAATTTAATATATATTATTTCAAATATTTTCAACACTCATAATGTTAGATTTAATTCGTATTTCTCATAAGAATTATACTGATCATTAGGAAAGGTTGGGTAGAATGCGACACAAGCATCAGAACTGCCAACATAAATCATGTTATAAATCCTCCAATAAATCAATCTCACCTAATAATAGATATAATATTAATACTCTTCTTGCAGGATGATACAGGCCTTATAATGCATAAAGTAGAATATTGCCAGGTCCAAGACTGACTCTCATTCCTTCTATGGCTTCCATAACAGCATTAATAACATGAGGTGATGTTTCGAATATGTTTGGCCAAACATGATTCAATAAATGCATAAGTTGTTCTTCGCATCCTAAACACTAGACACCAAGAGCCAAATGTTTGACAGCAGATGAGGCAGTTTGTCTATGAACAAGATCTCTATCAGTCAAAGCATCAATAAGTAATGGAATAACTGAGTTTATATAGGAATAAGCAGTTGGTCCTATGTATTCAAACATAAAAGATAATGACTTTAAAACACCATTTTACACATTTAATTCTCTAACTCTGTATTCATTCATCAGAGCAGGTAAGACAGTAAAAGGACCGCATGTTTCTGCTACAATTGCAATTGCTACAGTTGTACAAACACGAAGTTATCTTTCTTAAACTTTAAGATTATTTAAAAGAGTAGATAAGACATCTTAGGGTCCTATGGCTTTAGCAATATAACCAAAAGTATTGATAGTTGCTCTTCTTATCCCTTTTTTGTGAGCCTTCAATAAATCCAACAAATCAAAACATATTCTGATCCATTCTTTTGGAGAAACATGCTCTGGTCCTCTATCTGCAATCCTACCAACTAAATCAATACAATTCTCCTAAACCTTCTCATGTCTATTTTTGAGGATGGGAGTCAATCTTGGCAATAGATCTTTAATAGGAGGCGACATCTTATTCATTCCTATTACATTGACTATAGCCTTCAATCCTCCTAAGATAGATCCTAGAACTTCTGGATATTCTTCACCTAGACATTCAAATAACAACTAGCCTAATCTTCCTAATCTTGCTTCTTCTTGACAATTTTTCATGCAAACTGCTATTTTACCAATTAAATCAGCTGCTTATTATCTAACTCTTGGTGATTTATTAGATAATCTCCATTATAACACACCACCTAGTTAACTGAAATATGGTTTAGATCTACTGCCAAATGCATTAATTATAGATCCAAATCCACTCAACATAGTTTAGGTATCTTCACTTTGCTGTTCATTAAATGCCCATAATACTCCATCCATTAATCTGTTTTCCAATTTGGAATCAATATCTGATACTCCTAATTAATTTATAAACTTTTCTATAGTTTCCACAACCATTTTTCTGAATGATTCATTTTCATCTTTGAGATCTCCTACAATTCTTTCTAATATTTCAGCTGCTCCCACTTTAGCAGCTATTTCACAGGTAGTTTCAACCATTTATCTGTAATTTCTTCTGTCTGTGGCTGTTCTTTTGCTCCAATAATATTTGAAGAATTCAGGCATTATCTAATCCCTTACATAAACAGCCTCTATACCTGCACATTATATGCATTATTTTATTACCATTAATACAATCTTCTTCATTTCCTCTTCCTATATTTCAAATTAGTTTTTCAGAATAGGTACGATTGCTTTAACATACTCTGTTGCATGTTCTACATCCATTAATGGAATGATGAATCCAATGGCTTTTAAAAATGCTGCTAATCCTTTACCCTTATGTGTTTTGATGCCTTCCCACAAAGGAATAAGCACATTATCAAATGCTTCAATACCATATGGAAATGAGGCCTCCGCCAAAGCAGCTAATGCTAAAGCTGTAATAGTTTTTACTTTTTATTATTCATCCTTCAATCCATGTTATATAATTTCAACAAGAGATTTCAGATGAGGCAGAATAGCACAACCCATAAAAATACTGATTTATTGAACTATTTTAATACCAGTATGTCTAGCCTACCAACTCTTTCTACTCTAGCAAACAGCCTTTAAGAAGGGCAACAATGCTGGAATACCCAAAGCTGAAGCCACAATAGCAAATGCTCTAGCAGTTGTGTTACGAACATAATCATCATTATGATCAATATCAGGTCTCATGGTGGTGATCATAGTTGCCAAACCAGCTGCCTTAGCTAAATTGGAAATGATCTCTCTAGCTTCAACTCTAGCATAGTAATCTTCATGAATTAACAATGGTTAGATAACAACTAATATCTTATGTACATATGGCCTAACCAAATCATCCAATTTAAATAGGACTCTGTCAATTACTTTCACCAAGAGATGTCTTTCTTGATCCTCTAGAGTTGGAGACATTAACAATGGTAAGATCTAATTGAAAAGTGGAGCAGGTCCAAATTCTCTGGCACTCTACGTTATTTATCTTAAAGCTGACTTTCTCATTTGAGGAGTTCCGTTCTTAATTTTCAAAAGCAAAGCCATAATCTTTCTTTCCTTTGCTTATTCTGGAGTCAATTCATCTTCATTTATTGGTTGTAACAAAGCTGAGAATAAATTATATTCTTCTGGCTTAATTGCTGGTAATTGACCTATTGTAGGATGAGATGGAGTAGCTGAAACTTCAATACGAATAGATTCTGGTATTTGATATTGCACTGGTGATTCAATACTATTTTTTGCATTTAATAATTTCTTTAATGATGATTTCAATGGTTTATAATTCTCAGGTGCTTTTAATATCTATTTTATTAATTTATCATTACTTCATAACCATCCTTCGGACCAGGTAAAATGCTGTTTAATTCCTCATCTGTCATATACTTATTTCTCTCTTCCATCTCTTTTTCCAATCTAAACTAGTATACTCTATCAGGAGTCATGTTTCCTAATTATCCAGGAGTCATTGGTGTTCTCATCACAGTTCCTGGTGTGTGAGGTGTCATGCCTCCTCCAAATCCAGATTGACCAGCCAATGGTGTTCTTTCTCCCCATCTGGCTTTTATGTACGAACGATTAGGAGTAGGAGTTTCTCCGTATTTATATGGGGTGTCTCCTATTTCCATATGTCCGGGAGTAGGGGTTTCTCCAAATACTGTTCCTGCTCGACCTGGAGTAGCTTATAATTTATTTGTATTATCCCATCTGGATGCCCTTGCTGATGATTATGGACCATCTAAATATTAATGAACTATTTAAAAATACCTCTGGATGGGGTTTCCCATTTTTAAGGCTTTTTAGAAACATCTTTGCTTTCTTATTCCCATTCCGATCTTTCCTATTTAATTTATTAAGCAACATTTTATTCCACCTTCACTTGTTGTTTGACCAATTTTTTTTCCTCTTTATTTAATGTCTCTGTCTTTTTAATTTTATTTTCAATTTCAGATCTGGAATTCTCCAAGTCCTATTAGATCATGATTTCCGCGTATGTTCTCCCATTCTCACCTCCTTAATCATTGAACACATCTTTTCTTTCTGGACTCAACTAGCGGTTCTTTTGCTTGTACTTGAACTTTTCTTCAACTTTGTCTAAATTTTACTTTCTTGTTTAATTGTCTTCGCCAATTTGTGCAGCTTCTTCCAAAATTTGTTTTGGTGCCGTATACGCAAATCGTTATTTGCCCTGCTCTTCAGTCATTTAATTTAAATAATAAATAAAGATTTTATATTAATGTGGATATATAATATATTATTATTATTGGAGGCATAGCCTTAAAATGAAATAGACTATCTATGACTCTACAAATCTATATAATAACATTAAATGAATTTATAAATAACAATTAAATTTAATAGATATGCAAAGCATAGTATAATTGGACTGTTTGAAGCATAATAACCAATAGATCTGCATGCTAGACATCGGAAAATCAACCCTAAATGGATCTAGAACCCTCTGCTAGACCTGTTTCAACGATTTGAGCTAGAAAGAGAATGTGATATTCCTTTCTTCTTTTTATTAAAAGTTGAATTAGTAAAAAGATAAGGAACATCGTTCGATAGAGGACAAGAAATAAGAGCTCCATAAAAAATTATAACCGTTGATCAAGCACCTTCAAGAAGCTCAGAATAGGTTAATTAAAATTTTAGAATTTGCCTAGACCGAATTCTAGTAGTATTAATTGATTATGGAGTAGAGTTTGATTAATATGCAAGAAAAATTAGGAGTGTTGGGGTAAAATCCAACAATTTCACAACTCGAAGAATTAGCTGAGAAAATTGGCAAAGGAGATCGACTTATTCCTTTTGATTTTTCAACTGAGTGTGAGAATATGATAACTAATAGATAATAAAACTCTTTAAGTGAACAATCAAGACGGATACAGGAACTATTCAAAGAAATCAAAAATATATTCTCTAATTTAGAAAATAAAAATATCAATGATTTTGATTTTGCTTATGAGAGCTAGATTGACAAACAATGCTAACCTATTGGAGTAAACTATCAGGATAGAACAATAGCAATTTCTGAAGACAAAAATATTTCTCTTTGGAATCTTGATAATTATGCGTTTGATAAAATAGATTAATTGGAGGGACATCTCGATAAAGTCACTTGCATTTAATTTAGTTTACAATAAAATTGGTTTGTTTCTGGTTCAGATGATCAAACATTGAAAATTTGGAAAATGAATAAAGATCGTTGGTGTTGCACTTAAACTCTGGTAGGACATCAAAGTTATATTAGTGACATTAAAATCAGTAATGACGAGAATACTCTTATATCATCTAGTTTTGATTTTAAGATCAAAATTTGGTAATAGAAGGACCAAAAGATTTGGTACTGTTCTTAAACCCTTGATAATCATAAAAACTATGTTTATTATTTGTCTATAAATGGATCTAATAATCTTTTTGCTTCATCTTCTGGGGATTGCACATTAAAAATATGGTTGTTAAAAAGTAGAAAATGGGAATTATATAGATCAGTTGAAAGGAGATAAAATGAATGGATTAAACGAATCTGTTTTTTAAATGATACTTAAATAGCTTGTCAGATTGTTGGATAACCAAAAATTGTAATAATGTCAGTCATTGGGAATAATGAAGTAGCATCATTGCAGGAAATTTCATTAACTGAGAATGATGATGAGTACTCATATAATCCCATGATTTATTTTTAGAAGAAGAAGCTTATAATCTTGAAGAACAACAAAAGCATACTAATTGTATAAGAAAAAAATAATGGATTATTTTAATTGGTTCGTACTATAAAAGGCAATTATCAAAGTCCAACGCTAATTACAACTGGAAAGAGTTTAATAATGTTTGAGAAGGATAAAAAAATGTTGTAATTATTCAAGGCTTACTGAGATTGATAATGGGTTTAATCTATTAGATTTGATGATATATAAATTTTATTATTTAATTCTTTATATTGTTGATCATAATCAATTAAGCAATTCATGCTCTAAGGCTTATCTATCCCACCATCCTTCAGAGTCAAAAGTGAGAAATTCTCCAGTGGATTTGTCTTTGAAGATTAGATTTCTATCCAATTTGTGGTAATTGAGATTCCAAAAGTAATTCTCTGTATAATAGTATCAATTGATGTTACCTTTCGTTTCTTGCTCTGAAAAATCAACATGCTCCAAATCAGATATTTAATGCAATTTTGTGATCACTTATCCAAAAGCGCCTACTTTTTGAACTGCAATCTAATGTGTATGAGGCAATAAATCCATTCTGATGACTGTTCTTCTTGTAAGTTCATAGAAGAAGGCCTAAGATGTATAATTAGTAAGTACATTGAATCCAATAGTGTAACCAAATAGGGCAACCAAAGCATAATAGATGGGATATTTAGTAGTTAAGAAGAAGATTCCTCCCACGATTTCTAAGGATCTACCATATCTGAAGGTTTTTCCAAATCTATATGAGGTGTATATATTGATGCCGTTCTCGTGAAGCTAAAGGGAGTGAATGGATGCATTACTTTAGGTGGGAAATAGACATCGGAAACAGCTTCAGCTTAGACACTTGAGAATGAAGTTGCAATGTATTTGGCGATAGTTGAATTGTATAGGCTAGTTAAGGAATTGAATAATGAAATACGGTGTGATTTTGGGTAACCAAGTGTAAGTAGCAAAAAATCTCTCTCTTGCTTCTGGATGCATGTTAATGTAAACTCTGTATTTATCAATGTCGACTTTAGTCATTAAATCTGGCCTGTTTGGTTGGTGATGACTGGCCTTGAGGTGATGATCGCTTGCTCTGAATTTACTCAGATTCACCAAAGATCGAACTCCATTAAACTTTTACATTATTAATATTATTTGATTTAAATATATAAATTTTCATTATTTTAATCAAAACATTAAATAAAATTTTTATTGTTCCAAAATGCATAATTATCGAGGAGTTAGACCTTCTACTGCCAAAATGAACACACTACCTCCAGAGACGGAAAATCTGGAAGAGTACATGTACGATATTTCAAATTAAGGATAGGAAAATACTTTATGATCACCAAAAGGCTTGTGAGAAAGCAGGTAAATATTTGGAGGCTGATTGTGCAAAATAAAGATTGAAGGATCTCAAAGCTAAATACGAATCCAAAACCAAAATAGATATAAGAGACAGGCACGAATAAGAAGTTAATTTATAATTCATAATTTAGAAATATGAACTAACTAAATCACATCAAGAAGAAATGTAAAATTTCAATGCTTTTTGGGATGAAAAAATATAAGAATTTGAACAAGATGCATAGAAGCTTAAAAATGAACTATAACAAAAGTAAGAAGATGAAATGCAATAATTCCTTTAAGATTTAGAGGGTTCTATTCCATAAACTCCAAAAGATTCTGCAGAATTATTGAGTCTCAAAAAAACTGAGGAGTAATTAGCAAGATAAGAAGAGTACAATATTCACGTTATATTAGATACTTGGAAGCACATAAAATACAATCCAGAATCGTATAAATTTCGAAAGAAGAGCAAGACAAGTGGACTTTAATGAGGAATAATAAAATTAAAAACCTCCTCCAATAATAAAAGATCAAGCAAAATAACGAAACCAATGTGCTAAATTAAAGAATTGAAAATGCGCAAGAAGAATAAAGAAAAATCAAAAAAGCAGAAGAAGAAAAGTAGACTCTATATTTATAATAGGTTGATTTAAAAATATATTAACGTGAAAAAAGAATTAGAAGGGAAACAACTATAAGAATTGCAAAGAGTTGACAAAGACTTTAAGAATACAACATCTAATTTTGTAGCTTCAAGAATGTCCAAAATGGCATCTCAATCAGGTTCCTAAATGTAAAGCGAAGATTGTAAACTAAAAATTATATATTCTAGAGTAATTCAAAGGGAAAAATTGAATATCAATTATAACATTATTTATTATATCTTACTCTTTTAATCTTGATTCCATAAACAGGTTTTGAGTGAATTACTATTTATTTTTATTTAAAAATCCTACTAGATTACAACAAATTTTAAAATCAATAATTTATATCATTATTAGAGGACTAGGAATTTTAATAAGAACTAGGGATGGAAACCTATGGATTACTTGAACCAAACCAGTTTTCCTAAAAAGCTAATTAAATTAAAATTAATTCATTTAATTTATGAATAAGCTACTCAAGAAATAAGTTAACTGATTCTTTTCTAAAGTATTTGATGATGGGAAATAGAGATTTTAAAATATTGATAAACTAAAGTGTAATTTGTATAAATGATAATATTATGAAGTACAAATAATCAAGAAAAATGGAAGGCTTAAATTAATAATATTTTATTCTAATTTTGATTAATAAAAATAGAAATAAAACATATTAATCATTCAATCTTATAAGAAAAACTTAAGGATTTTTGAATTAAATATCAAGAATTCTAACAACCAACTTGACAAGGTTAAGAATATACGGGTGTTTAATTGGAATAGCAAAAAATATTATAATAGAAATGCTCCTTAGCATAGTTGCTCATTAAAATTAAAAACTTAAATAAATTATGATGATTTATCACTAATTATGTATTAGATCACTTATGAATTAAGAAATTATAATATTGAAACTATTAGATATTTAGAAAGACTGTACTAATAAGTAATATTTTCTTGAAAAATATCCATGCTATTTTTAAGAATGTGATAATATTGATAAGATGGCAATTTAAAAATTATATAATTGATTTTCTTGTCATGAAAAGATTTTTTGAAAATCGATTACATGGCACCCACGTTGCCAGATATGGGTAAATGCTTGTATGTTTTCAAAGAAAAACTTAGTAATTATCCTATAATTTTATCCATATAAAGTATAATATTGTAATTTAATCAAATCTTATTTTAATAAAATAATTTCATCAATGGACAATTTATATTATAATAATATTAATTAACTAAATTGGCAATGTACGAATTGCAATAAGGAGATTTGATTGGGAATGTTTATAAAGTTAAGAAACTACTATCTTAAGGTTCTTTTGGTAGGGTATATTTGGGGAGAAACATTGAGAGTGGAATGAAAGTCGCAATTAAGGTTGAAAAATAGGAAATGTCAAATTGCTTTAGTATAGAAAGAGAGGTTAGTTGAGACATTATTAATAGGTAAAAATATTGAAGAAATTACGAGGTATACCTTAAGTGCCATAGTTACTTTGGCATGGAAAGCATAATGAATTCTAAGTCATGATAACAAAGATGCTTGGATTTGACTTAATTTACTTCTTGAAAAAACACAAAAGATTTTCAAATGAATGCATTTTCAATATAGCTTAATAAATGTTAGAGATATTAGAGAATATTCATAAAAAGTATTTTTTGATAATATTTTTTTAGGAATGTACTCCATAGAGATTTAAAACCAGAAAATATTTTGGGCAAAAGACATTCAGATCAGATTTATTTAATAGATTATGGGATTGCAAAAGATTTTGTAAAAAGTAAGAAATAAAGTTAAGTGAAAATTCCATTTATCGGAACAAGCAGATATGCAAGTATCACAGCTCATCAAGGATTGGAGTAATCAAGAAGGGATGATTTAGAATCATTAGGTTATGTTCTGATATATCTTTTCAAACAGAAATTACCTTGGTCTAATTATGAGAACAGTGAAAATGATCGTTTAGAAAGGATTGGATAATTGAAAAGTGAAATACCATTGAAGGAAATTTGTGAAGGCTGTCCACAATAATTATATATGTAATGACAAAACAAAAATTTAGTTATATGATTTAAGTGGCAGAATTGAATCATCAATAAATACCAAATTATTAAAAGCTTAAGTCCATTTTTTAATTGAAAATTAATCACAAATAACATGTTATTTTTGATTGGTCAAACACTCAATTGGTTAATTCGAAAACCAGTCAAGATAGGACTAAAAATACTTTGAAATAAAATAAATATGACAGTGTTTAGCAGATAAAGCTGTATTAAAAATATCAATGATAGTAGATCCATTGAGAAAATGAGTTCCAGACATCTTCATACAATCACTTTCCATGTTGACTCAAATGCTTCTTCCTGTTTCAATAGTCAACAATCAAGTAGTATGCAGCACTCCTTTGGAAGTCATCAAAGTGTATAAGTTGATTTTATGAATTCGGAATCAAGTGAAAATTCTCAAAAACAACAACAAATAAATAAGATTTCAACTTTTGAAGCCTTCTTAATAACTGATGACATCATGCCGATCAAAGATTAACTTTAGTTGATGGAGTTGGAAAATTAGGATCTAGAAATTAAGCATAATTTGTTACATTACCATTCAGTCTATTATAATTTCAAAAATCCATTTTAGAGTTTGTTACAACTAAGAATGAATTGATTTATAAACTTCCTTATTCATATAGCATATTACATCCGAATTTGAAATGGATTTATCCAAATAAATTTATGTATAATATCAACAAATAATTAAAATCAATAGACATCATCATATTGATAGGCTCTTTTAATGTCTGATCTTGCCAGCAAATACATCCTTTGATACCAAATCAGCACAGTTCATTGCACTTACTCCTGAGACCTTTTTGTCAGACATAAAAATCAGACTAGGGATAAAGTCATTTTTGTTATTCTTGTCCTTCGTACATACACAACCCATTCAAACACAAATTTAAAATATAAATATTATTATTTCCTGATAATGCATTCTGCGTACTGAACTTAAAATTTTCAATATATTTTGAATGAAGGACCAATTTTCAAAGGTTGTCAAATATTTCCTCAAGTTAGTTTGAGACTAATCCTGCTATGAATTTTTAAGGATTCAATCTTAGATATAATATTAATGAAATTAGAAAAGACAACCCCAAATTAAAATAAAAATGATTTTAATGCTGTTCTAAATATTATTCTAAAATTCTGATAGTTAAATTGAGATAATTGATTCCATAATCCTATTTAAAGAGTATTTAAAAATGTATATTTGGTACTCTCTAACATCTACAATACAGTTAACAATAAAACTTAGGCTGAATTTATAGCATTAGTAATAAATCTGTTGGTAACTCTAATTTTGGGCATGTTCTTAGACTGGCAGCCAAAATATTATAAGGCAGAATTAGCTAATTGAATATTTGATTAATTTGTGCAAGTATCTGTCATTGAAATTATAATATCATATCATAATTTTATATTAAATAATATATATAATTTATACACATATATATATATCTTTTGGGTAAAATGAATGTAGTTATGGAAGGAGGATTGGAGGAATCCCTAGAAGATAATATTATTTATGCAATAGCCAAGGTTTTGGACGAAATTGTGAAAGAAACAGACATTATTGAGAGTCCAATTTAAACAGTCTTTCATACCAATAAAAAACCCTAAATCACAATTTATAAATATATCGAGCGCATCAAGATGTACTCTTATTGCAGCAATGAATGTTTCGTATTGGCTCTGATATATATAGACAAAGTGCAGGAGAGGAACCAAGATGTTGTTATAAATAGTCATTGCGTTCATAGGTTGATATCTCATTGTTATAACCATAGATTTCTGTTGGCATGCATTCTTTTGAGCATTAAATACAATGATGATGACTACTACAAGAATGATTACTACGCTAGAGTCGGAGGAGTTACGCTTCAGGAGCTAAACTAGCTTGAAAGAGAACTATTAACACTGTTGGATTACTAACTATTCGTTAGTTAAACTCAATACTACTATTACAAGGAAAAATTGATGAAATATGCATAACTATGATTATATAAATATAATAAAATGGAAATGGCTTAAAGATTAGATATCAATTCATTGGTGCATTTGAATAATTTCATATTTCTTGTCTTCTCTATTTGCACTGATAAAATAGTGACAGAAGACTTTCAATGCAATGATTCTGAGGGAATAGGTTTTCTGCATTTTATCCTTTATGGAAACTTAATTGTGTAATTGTCTATTTAAAATTGTAGATATGGGATCATCTTCGTAATACAGTTCTTGAGTGCCTGCAATTTATTGGACACATGTACAAGGAAATTTGGAGCTGTTTGTATTACAATTAACACATTTGTCTTCTTTGGAGGAGTGATTATATTTGATGTTTTATCTATGCTCTATGGGATCAAACAACACTTCTTTTCCACCAAATCAAAATGTAGAGAAATTGAACTCTTTACAATGTGTTGTGCATACATATTTGTTGTGTGGATTAGTGTAATGATAATTGGGGCCACTAATCGCATAATTGACTATTTTAAACCAAGAAATGACTTGATACAACCATTAAATAAGAACCCTGCAGTTTTGTGAAATATTATATATTAAAATCCCTGTTTGATCAAAAACACTCAACTTAATATTGTCTAATTTAATCCATACTCTGTTTATTATTAGTATCATTACAGTGATTACATCCCTAAAAATAAAAGAAAATAAATACTAATTACATTCCATCCATTTCCCTAAATAATTTAAAGCATTCCTTACTTAACTATTTTATAAATTGTCTTAAAATTGAATTTGTAATTTTATATTATGTTTGATAATTATTTGCCCTAAGAATAGTTTGAGGGTCTTATACCCTATCTATTATAAGTGTAGTTATATATTTCACTATTTCTGGAAACAGATATGTCAATAATTTATTATAATTTTTCGATATATGGTTGATATATTTTAAAAAGTATTTTGAGTTTTAACATTTCATCAGTGGTTCCTTCATAAAAGACCTATTTCAAGGCAATTCAAAAAGAATTCTATTCATTTGCTAATATTGTGACTTAAATTCTTTTCAAATTAATAAAAGAGTGAACTCTTAATAAATTAGAGAATTATTGAATTTAAGAAATATCACTCCAAGTAATAGCCAGTCTAATATTAATTATAGATTCTATTTGGTAAATCTTCAATAATAAAGACTATTAAAATTATATAATTTGGTTTCTAAGCCTTTGCTGTTGATTGGATAAAGTTCACTCTCTTTGATATTAAGGAACATTAAGTGAGAGAAACTCAATCAAGAAAAACAGGAGTTCAACTGAATATCTCCTGCCATTCTATTAAGAACTTCAGAATTTTCTGTATGTCTATTAATTGTAATAAAATAGGAAAGTTTATGTAGAGTATATTAAAATTCAATGTTTTGCAGTTGATGGTCTGCTCTTTTATTTATCTAATTGCACAAATTATGTAACTGTTGCATAGTTACCTGGACCAGGAACTAAGATAGTTGCGTAGAATAAAATAGTACCTCCACTCTTTTTAGCTGCTCTAACAGCATCATCAATGAAGCACTTTCTTTTGGCACTACCAAATCGACACTTGGGTTAAGTTTGTATAAGTTATGCATTATATTCTCCAGGTCCTGGAATAAATGTGGATTCAGTTGAGAATCTATCAGGACCTTTGTTTATAGAAATGCTTCTGTTCTTATAAATATTGGGATCATATGCCCCAGGGCCAGGCATTTCTGTTGTGTGAGGACATACTCCTACTCTCTATCCAATAGAGTAACCAATAGATTTTTGCGGACTCTAAAGATAAGATCCTGGACCTGGAACATCGTTATTCTGCAAATAGGATCTGTTCTTGACCATGTTTCTACTGAGTCCAAAAGATGCACCTTTTGTATTTGAAAATGAACTAGAAGGATCATAGTAACTTTCGGTGTAGAATTACACTTTAGTGAAATCAAACTTATTCCCATATCCGAATCCTGATGCTCTGGTACTCCGAAAATAATTTGGTTCATAATAGTCGGTTGAACAAGGAGTATGTAATCTTCGAAATCTTTGAGCTTTAGGGAAAGAATATTGCACAGACGCCTAGACATGTTGAGACATTATTTTTAATATTAATATAAAGTGTAGCTCAATCATTCTTACTAATTATTTGGGTCTCCATTGATTTAGGACATCGCTTATCTAGGAGGTCTTATAACTGTATGTTAATTAAATTAAGCTTTGGATTTCAGTACGGGATCGCTAATAAAATTCTCTTGATCAGTCTTAACAGTTTATCTAGTTATCGACGAGTTCTAAAGATATACAAAAAGCATACTCTGATTACAGTTGACTAAATAATGGAATTGTTCATTTTCTGTTCGTACTTCACTTTTAGAGAATCTATTTCCTTGATCTTTTCTGTCAATTCGCTGCTCTTTTTCTATATCATTTAATCTCTCTCATGAAGGCTGTTCTACATATATTGAATTTATGATTATCTATAATTAAAGTTAATAATTACAAGCTTTGATTTTCATTGTTGACTGTTTATAACTACTCTTTTAATTATTAATTCTGTTGTCCCAAATTGGAGACGGTTTATTATAAATATTATTGAGTTTTTCTGTTATTCTCTGCTTCTTTATTGGTGGATTCACTCTGTCTCCTTTGTTTATTCATCAAATTATAGATGTCCTCCACTTCCCTTGATTTATCTTATAATGATAATTCCAACAATTAAATCTATTTCTCTAAAGTTTATGTATGAGATTTCAATTTCAAATTGCTTTATTCTAATTCCATGACTTATTACTCCAAAATATCATACTCTGTTTTTAATTGTTCATAGTTTTCAGCTAATGAAGCATCTCTGAATTTGAACCTTAACTCTTCAATCTCATGAAGTCTCTCATCTCCAATTGTGGTCAATCTCTTTATTTCTTAACTCAATAAATGCACTCTCTATTCATAATCCTAAATTTAATTGTTTAATTGATATTTTTGTGTTTCCCAAGACATCCTTTCTGCTTAAAATTTAGTTTCCAAGTCTCCTACTTCTAAGCCATTCTTCTACATAATTGTAATTTCTGACTAATATGACTCAATTTATGAATATAATTCCTCAATCTCTTATAATAATGATTTCTATTTAATCTCCTACTCATACACTTTGCTTTGCTCTTCATATAATAGATTTTTGGTTCTCTCCAATTCATTAGTCATCACAATCATCTTGTTTTCTAAACTCTGTTCCTTCATATTATTTTCTCTTAAGTGATTTTTTTTCTCAGATTCCAATGTACTGATTGTATTATGGTACTATTGGGTAGTTAATGTCAATTATTATATTTAATCATTTAACAATCTATTTTACTCTTCTGTTTTCTTAATTTAATTTGTGAAATCTTGAATGACACTCCATAATCTATCAATTTCAGTTGCATAGATTACTATTTTCATCCTTTCTTTAACAAAATCTTCTTTCATTTAGAATCTCTCATTAGTTACTAGTTGTAATTCCATCTAGTAATCTTTTATTTCTTATAATAAATTGATTCTCTCTTTCTCACTTGTTTATAATTTTTATCTCTAAATCTCTAATTGATTATCAACTGTATATTATAAATCTTAGAGTTTCTATTACAACTAAGAATTTTGCATTTCAACTTATTACTTTGATTATTGTAATTATCGAATCTACATCTCAAGCACTGACTTATCATTATTGAACTTCTGAGTCAAATCTCGAATTTGCTGATCAAATACAGATCTTCTCAAATACTCCCCCTATTTCTTTAGCTCATTTATCTCAATTTAATGCTTATCCCCTATTAATTATATTTGATCATGCAAATCCTTGATTTCAATGTCTTTTTATTGACTAGTGAAGATTAGATCCTTATATTCTCTGTTGATTTTCTCATACTCTTAATACAAGCACTCCTTATCCTGATTCACTTAATTATAGTTATACGTGGTTCTGTTCAATTCGTTTGCATAAAACTCGATCTGTTATCTTAATTCCTAAGATCTCCTACTCTATTATTAGGATGCTTAATCTTTAATTTCCTGAATTTCTTCTTCCAATTGAGTGATTCTCATATTGAGATTGTCATTGTCACTGTTCAGCAGCATCGACTCCTATTAATAGTTACTTATTTCCATTTCTAATTACAATATTACATTAGATTTTTCCTCTACAATTTATAAATGATTCTCCACCTATTTTTGGAGTGACTCTACTTCATATTAATAGTTCCTACTTGACCTTTCATTGCTTCGTGTAACTAAATTTAATCTCTCAAGCTCAGTTGTTAGCATGGCACATTTATCTTACAACTCCTAATTTCTCACTGTCAATTCCTGCTAATAATATTCATATTGCTATAGAGTATTCTAAGATTTCTCAACTTCTTAATCTAACTATTGTTTCAACTGATTGTTTAATAATTATTATTCATCTAATAATGAACACTGCATCTCATATTGTTCTAGACTCTGGATCTATTATTGGTAAGATTAATTTTGTTATTACTATTCTTCAATAACACAATGTAATCTTTCAATTTCAGAACTCAATACAACGATTTTCATTCTATCCTTCTAATCTTAGTCTTGATAAAATTCCAATTCATTAATTTATTCCTCATATCTAGCTATAAATTACATCATTTCCTAGATCTTCGATTTTAATTCATCGTTTTCATTTTGTAAATTTTTATTAGTCACTTTATTCTACTCTAATTCTTTAACTCGCATTCTCTCAATTTCTTAAGCTAACAAAGCACACTTGTTTTCTAATTCAATATTTTTATTCTCTAGATTTTTAATTTTTATATCAGATTGGATTCTTTCCTAATTGAACTATTAAGTCATCTCCCTAATTTGAGTATCCATCAACGACCTTTTCCAGTGCTCATTGGTTTATAAATATTGAGTTAACTCTTATTAATGGCTACTTTCCATGTTTTGGATTCTATCTTTCAATGATAGAATTTCAGCATCTTTGCCTTGCAATTACATTTTCATTATATCGTAATCTTAGGAGTATTCCCTAAAGTTTTTGAGATATTCGTCTCTTTCTTTACAACACTCCGAATATTTTTAATTGGATTTATTGAGTTCTGTGATGTATTATTCCACTTGGCTCTTGAGATCAACATTCCTTTGTTTATAGTTTTGAATCTACTCCAACAATTGTTTGACTTCTAATTGATGATTCTGATTCATCTCTTAGAATTAGGTTGTTAACATTTTGCTTTGAGCTTCTGCTTGTTTCAGGAATTCAATTTCCCTGTTCTTCTCTTCGATTATTTTTTAAATGCTGCTTCCTTCTGAACCATTTGAGTAATTGCTTATGTTGTTCTGATACACGACCTCAGATCTATGTAGGCTTGCCTCTGTGTCCATATGCGGATATTTTGCCTTGTTGGGAAGAGGGATGTTTTTATGAACCATGTATTCAACTGGAGTCATTCGACCTTGATTGTTTGTTTTAGGTTGAGAATTAAGTCTATTCATAACTTAATATTTGAATTTTAAAATAATATCAGTCAGTTCATATTAATAATAAATTAATGGAAAGTGCATTTATATTCGGATGTCTCTTTGGAATGGGAATCAGAATGACTGTCAGTCGAGTAATAAGACAACCACTACTGTACAGTAATCAACAATTCGAATATTAGAATGTCATCAATATCCTAAATATATGTTCTTGACAGGACTTGCCTTTTCAGGGTTTGATTGGATTAGACGACTCTCATTGGAAACATTGTGCGAGAAAGAGGAGTTACAAGAATTCCTAGTACGAACTGCACGCATCAACCAATTGGCAACAGGAGCAGAGTCTGTCGGAGATTACAAGAAGGAGTTTATCTAGATTGCCGTAGATGAGCACATTTATTGATAAATCATGTCATAAATCAAAATCGTCGTTGAATTCGCTATTCGGATTATTTAAACTCTCCATAAGCCCTTTGATCTTCGCAGAATCCTTCTAATCAAGGGACATTGCAGTACTGAAACAACTACGAAATTAATAATCCTCCATACTTTTATGCTTCTTAAATCTTCCCCAGTTTCTTAAAGATTCGCCCCATCAAGATATAAATGGCTGCTTCTTTCGGGATCAATTCTCTCAGTCTCTGCAATTCAATTAAGGCCGAATTATAATCATCTATTTTTATTAATGAATTAGCCTATCATATTATAATGCATTTATACTTTCTAATACTTATTTAACCCATTTTGCGGATCTAATTTTTCACTTTGCTCAAAGTATTTCAGAGCCTCAACGTGCTCTCCCTTGGCTGCATAACTCATAGCCAAAAATGTTGGTAGAACTGGATTGTTTGAGTTTATCTTTAGAGCCTAAGTGAAACATCTGATGGCATCATCATATTTGTCAGTCTTATAGTACATGTTGCCCTGTCCCCACCAAGCATTGTATTATCTCGAGTCCAAAGAAGTGGCTTTGTCATACGATTTCTTGGCTTATTAGAAATTTTCATTTTGTGAGAATTCATGACCAGATAAAGTATAAGCATATGAATAGTCTTTACTCAACTAAATTGCTCTTCCGAAAAATTTAATTGAGTTGTCTATTTCCTTACTCAAACTAAAACAATTTCCAATAGCTATCCAGGTTTCAGGTGCTTGCATGCTGATTTGCAAACATGAATGGGCCAAGTATGTCAATTCTGATTGTTTTTTCAGATGCCATAAACAAGATGAATAATAATCCATGCCTTCTAAGCGATTGGGCTCTATCTATCTCATTTCCTTCCACACTCTCTCTGCATCAGCATATTTGACTTGATCCATAAAACTTCTGGCTACTTTTTCAAGCACCCAACCTGATCTATAATGTTGGGGAGGCAGCTTTTAGAAATTAGCAATGGTTTCCACTGAATAATTTGTCCATAAGTAATAAGGATGGGCAAACAACTTCAACAGTTACGGCAGACTAATTTAATTCTAATAAGGTAATCATACTTGATTAAACTAGGAGATTATTAAATTGCTACAGAGTTGACTTTTTGAATGTCATTTTTTTTTGGATTGAAATTCTTATTTTAGTTTTACGAGAATTAAAAAGGTTGGCTCAGTAGAGATTAGTAATTTTAGTAACCTACTCCAGGAGTTGGCACCATCTTAGCACTTATCTTTTTTTATTGAGGTTCTACATTAGAGGTAATAACGAGTATTACATAAGAATTTCATTTAACTATTGGAAGAATCATCCATATGAACGATTGGTTACTGCACACCAGTTGTGGAAAACGGTTTTATGGTTTGAGATTGTCTTTTGCCTGTAAATTACTAGAAAGCATATCGATAACAATATTACGGAGTCGTTTATTTAGAGTTCATCTCTAGTTTCCTCCTCTTTCTACCCTGATTTAAAATTGGCTGTCTTATTTTTCAATAAGTTCTGTATTATCTTATAGATATTGCAACTCTACTATCTATTAGTTTCGTATTGTCTCTATTTCTGATCGTTGAACACCTTGTTAATGGCAACAGATTCCCCAATTTTGGAGAGTCTTTCAAAGGCAATCCATAAAGTGGGATTATAATCCAATGCTTTTGAATACTGGTGTTTAGCATCCTCAATACGATGAAGTTATTCTTAAATTTGACCTAACAAGAGTAAACCAAAACCACCATTTGGTACGTTTTGAGTTTAGATAGAAAATTGATTGCTAAATTGAGTTCCAACCAAAGCAACTTCAGCTTCTTTGTATTTTTGATTTCTGAATAATGACACCGCATATTAATAACTAATAGCATTAATTTGCTTTCTACCGATTGAATTCTGATTTACAGTCCTTAAGAATATGACATGCTTTATATGGCTAATTCTCTTATAAGTAGCATTCAGCCAAAAGTGACCTGAACTCTTCAGTGTCTCTCTCATAAACCAATCTTTCAGCTATTGAATAGATGCAAAAGGAAATGGTTACCTAAAAAGGTGGCATTTTGATCCATATGATTTTGAAGAGAATCTAAAATTGCCTCTACAAGTTGTTATTCTAATTAACTTTTAAGTTGTTATCCCTCCTCTTCAATCATAATTTCAAAATTTGAAATATTATATATATATATTTATATTGCTCATCTCTCAATCCAATATCTTGGCCTTGCACCCTTTTAAGTGTACACAAAATAAAAACACTTCATTTTAAGATTTCTCCACCTTCATCTAATACTTGTTCTTGCCTTGTTCAAATAGAAGATCTCCATCAGTCGGATCAAATTTAATTAATATGAAATCCTTAGGTTCTGGAGTGAATGTCAACCCTTATTTCCAGTTTATGTTTTTATCTGAATTGTGACATGTCCCTTTTGAAATAGGAATATAATTTACATCCATCAGATCTAATTAAGTAAAAGCCATGTCCCACAGTTGCCAAGTCTTGTTACTCAAATCCTTTTTATTGTCTCATTTTTTAGAGTGTCACTCCAACTGCAAAACTGTATGACTGTTTCTTCAATTGAGACTGTCCCAATTGACTACCCTACATTAACTTTTAATCAGACTCGATAGCTCTTATCTCCAATTTTGCTTCCCATCTCTTTTAAGAAGTCAACTATTATTGGATGCATGCAAATGACCATCCCATAAATGATGCTATCATATTGAACATATTCCTGTACTTGTTGCCTCTATTTCCTTCTTGGCTTCATCTTTGATAGCATAAATGTTGGCCTTAAATTGATCACTCCATGTGTATTTAACATTACCCAATGTGGTAATCTGTAAATCGTATTGTTAGGCTTTCAACATTCCAGCGACTTCAGTCTTCAACTTATTCATACGATCATCAATCTGTTCCAAAATGAAACCGTATTTGGGAATCTTTTCCACTTAGAATTCTACAACAGTCTTTAACAAATCAGCTGTTATGTCCTTCAAGTTTTCGGTTTTCCTCACAGTCCACACATATTCTGAAAGTTATTGTAAACTCGGCATCTTCCTATAATTTTTTCATTATCTTTCTTTAATACTTGATTTCATTAATTTCAAACAAATCCAACTTCTCCTTTACCTCTCTTATGATCTTTGAAATGGCATCCTTGATAACCTTTTCGTTGCTTGTAATTTTCTGAATTTTCTATAGATCTGCATCTCCATATTTTTCCATGACATACGATTTAAACTCCTTGAATTACACCACCTTATGAGATTTGTCATTGTGTTTGGGTACGTCTGCCATCGTCAACAACAGCCTTGATTGGGAAGCGCATTTCTCATTTATGCAAAATAAAATTTGATCCATTTTAAATATAATGCTTTTCCCATAATATTAAAATAACCATATATACTATCACATACTTAACTCCAGGCTTCCATTCCTATATAGAGAGTGTCATTCGAAACATCATTGTATTTCATGAATCTGTTTGTCAAGGTTCACTCGTATAATAAAGAGAAAACGGGTGCCAGCTTAACATCTCTATAGTTTATGGTTGTCAATTAGATTTTGAAACAATGCAATTCATACATTTTTTACGAGATTCATGTTTGATTTGTATGTGTTATTTCGTCATTATGTCTTTTTCCCCAATTGTAATTTTTTATAACCTTAATCATTTATAATTATTATAATTACAAATTAATATTAGAATTATTGATAATATAAATTAATTTTTACATTTGGATTTGCAATTAAAGTAATAATGATGATAAAGTTCAATTATATCCGAATGATTTGCAAAATTATTATATAAAAATTATTTAATTATCAATAATGAGTCTAATCGTCAGATAAAGAGTTGGGATGCATGACGAGTCCGTAACCCACTCTATCTTATCAAAGGATATTAAAAAAAAAAGTAAGTCCCATTTTAAACTTAGAAAACTAAACCAGAAAACGTCAACCAATTAAACAACTAGTGTGCTTAGTGTCAATACCCAAACCCTTTTAAGAACATGTCTACATCAAATCAAATGTCGAACTTAAGTTGGCTCTTTCCTACATACCCGACCATTGCCTAGGAGGTTTAAAAGAAACTCCCTGCACTTACAATTATAGAGTCTCACGTACTGACCAATTGGATGACGTCTACTTTTATACTCTCGAATTACTTGACCAAGCCAATCATTCCATCGATCAGATTAACAATTTGTTATTTAATTAATCAGATCCACACGCCCAATTGGCTGCTAAACTAGTGCAAGAGCGTCATCAAATCTTGAATGACTACACTGAATAGCCTTATATTTCCAATGAAGACCTCCTGAACGTCGAATAAATTGCTCAAGATTACCCATACCAATGTACAATCCAAAAGGTGAACAAAGATTCCAGTTCACTCTCCCAAAGAATTGTCAACGAATAATTCTACACCTTAATGGGAGTCAGCAGAGACATGATGCTCAACCATCTGCATGAGACTAAGACTCTCCCCTCCATATTTGATCTTGGACCATGTCTCAAAATGTGGTGTGACTTGTCAGCCAATTCAATCCAATCTGCTCGCACCTTTGAAACCTCAATCAACACTTACGAAGGAGCCTAATACAAATGTACGGTTGAACAAAGGTAGATGTTTAAAAGAACACAAGTTAACCCAAATTAAATTGTGTTTATTGAATTTTGGCTCTTCAAAGTAGATGAACCTTTAAAATCGTATCTCATGAGTCCCCAGCGCATCTATAAGAACTAAATTGATTACTTTAACAAGAAGAATACCCAACTAGAACATGAAGCCTTTCTGCAATCAATGAAACAGAAAACCACTCCTTTGTATAAAAACAAAAATCCTTGTGGTTATAAAGAATTGGCATGGATTTGATAATCAATTCATTTTTTACATATTATTATTTAATTCTTAATCTCTATAATTTCTCAATATCTTTCGAAATGTCATCTTTGTCCTTTTACTAAATTTAAGACAATTTTGGTTACATTATTTTAAGTAATTACAAATGAGTAATTTTATATGATTGCTCACTATTTTACACATTTGATGTCACTCTCCTAATCAAAAGTAAAGTTCCTAGAGAATTGCACTGTATCAATTATCTTTACGCATTAATATTATATTGGTTGATTACCTTTCAAATTATTAGAGGATGGAGAGACTGTATTTGATGAATTTACAATCCTTTCGATAAGTTTAAATTGAGAAAGCGAACGAAAACTTAAGTTTATGCATATATCAAAATTTAACATAATTTCATGTAATATTACAACTATTGGATGAAAAAAAATTTGTTAATTTGTTCAGAATTTATTGACACCTCCTAAATTTAGTTACTCCAACATTTTTTGAGAAAACTACGATAACAGAATTTTTATTTAATTTTTAGAAATAAATATCTCCAACTTCTCTTTAAAGTTTCTTATAAATTTGATTAAAAGTTATTCTCAAAAAAATGGGCTCTCCCGGGAATTGAACCCGGCTCACATGCACCCTAAGCATGCATACTACCGATATACTAGAAAGCCTTCGCTACTAACAAATTTTAAGTCAACTTTATTAAGAAGTGAACAAAAAAACATTAAATAAATTCATTATTTTTTCCTGGTGATAGTATTTTTAATTACTTTTCCCCAAATCAAAAGTTATTATTAACTTCATGGGCATTATAATTTATTTACTTTGATTAAGAGAATGACTTTCTGTTATTAGAATTTCTCTGTTTCCTCAAGGCATTACTCTCAAAAATTATTGTTCTCAAACTGAGACTTATTAATGACTTTCTTAAAATAATTTAACTTTATTTTGTTGCACCTCAGTATTAGTCCTCTTGATTTAATTACTTTACCTTTTATTACTTTTTATCCACTTCAGTTTTCATGACTCAAATGTATTTACTACTTTGATATTGATATTTTAATTTTTAAGTATGTTAATCACTCTCTTGTATTACTTATCTAACATCACTTACATGTTTTCTAAAATAAGATAATAAAAACACCTTAAATTTCTAGATTATACTTCTAATAAAAATCCTCTCTCATTTTCATTTTCTTTTAGATTTCTCAGCTCTTATTTTTATTTAATAAGGCTTGCTGAATTAGATTTTCCAATCTTTTCTTATACCAATCCATCAACTTTCTTTAGAATATTTGCCATTATAGATTTGTCTACCAATTTAATTATTGCCTCTTTCCTTAACTAATTTCTGATGACTAAATATCAATATAGGTTTCTCCAATCACATCAATTTCTTTTTAAATTTAATTTATGTCTATACATCATTTAATCTAGCTACGACAACTTCTTTGAAATACTCCTTCTTTTCTAGTTCATCTTTGATATCCGAATCATTATTAACTAAATGATTTCTCACATCTTTTTCATCATCAATTTAGTCTTCCAAATCAGATGTATAATATAAATTTATATATATTATTCCTAGACTTACTATTAATTTCATCTTTCATTCAAACAATAAAGTAACATATAAATTAATATAATATATGCATAATTAAATAAAATAAATATTATGTAAGAACTCGCGATTAATAAAGAATAACAATTATGATGCAGAAGGGATTGAAAATAAAATACAAAATTACTTTGTTTGATTAATATACTATAAACAGAAGTAATCAAGACTTCTACTTTTTTCCTTTTCTTCTCGAAACTTGTCTTCTCTTTTTTCCTTTTCCAACTCTGGCTTTAGCTTTCATAGCTCTTTTATCTTTTTTCAGTCTCTTATCCACAGTAAGAACTTTCCTAGAACTTTTGAGTTCTAAAATTTAATGTATATTAATACTTCCACTTGCTTGACCTTTTCTAGCCACAATGACCTTTCTCTCCTATTCTTTTTATATATTGGCTTTTTCTTTGTTATAGATTCTTCTCACTTGTTACATTTTAGTCTTTTCATTGATACCATCAGTATCAAAAACTGTCTAAGCTTTCTTTGCTGCAGTCTTGAGTTTTTTTTAAGCCTTTTTCCATTTTCTAATTTTGGCTTCCATAATCTTGATAATAATATTGTTTAAATACCTTTTTAGGTACTCGAGAATTGATTTCATATAATCTTTGTTTTTCTTATTAAAATTCTTCTTTTGTAATAGGTTCCATCTTAAATACATGTCTCTCTTCATCATCGACAAACCATTAAGGTAAATCTTCATCTTCCCATTTGTCTCTGCCAAAAGAGTTTTCAATTATTTACTCTCTGGTCTTTTTCCTCATCATCTTTTTTGCCAATGCTAGATTAGTAGCTAATTAATCAATGTCATAATCCTCTATTTTTTTTTCTGGGACTATTTCTAACTCTTTATGATTTGGATCCTTATCAGATGCTTACTTAGCTTTCTTCTCTTCTCTGGCTGCGATTTTCTTCAGTTTTCTTCTTCTTTTTTCCATGTCTGAAATTGGAAGATTAAGTTCGAACTATTTAACTTTTTCATCTTCTCCTGGTAATGGATCTTGAGTAATTTTTGCATCTAAATAGATTAAATAAATACATACTTAATTTTTTTTGATATTCAATTTCCTTTTTATCAACTCTTCTCAATAAATCAACATCTTTATTATCATCCAATTAATTTAAGTCTTCTTGAATTTACTTCTAAAGATTTTTCAGTTATTTCGGATCCATAACTTTTTCTTCCTACTCATCACTATCTGAGTCATTCTTGAATTTATCAGCGGCTTATTCCTTATCAGCTTTCTCTTTCTTCTTCTTCTCCAACTATGTTATGTTTTAATTCTTTAAAGGGTTGTCAAATACATCATCTTTTTATGTTTTAAGTTATTGCTTTAATTTCTAGAACTCCTCCTTATCAAAAAATTTACTCTTTAAATCTGAAATTTTTAAGTGATCCTCTTATTTCTTCACTTTTTTAATAGGCTTGCAAGCCAACTCATCGGCATCGACTTCTTCTTAATCAGATTCTAGGGCTTATTTCTTATTTCTAACTCTTTCTAAAGCATTCTCTTTCTTTTATTTTTTGTTTTCATAAATCAATTCTAAATTGTGATCTAATTATTTTTAATTATTAAATGCCAACTTCTCCTTCTTTAGTTTCTCTTCTTGTTTATCTTCTACATCCACGTATCCTAATTTGAGTATATTCTTATGCTTGGAAAATTAGAATAATTCTTAATCCTCTTCTTGAGGAGTGAATCCTATTCCCCTTCCTGCTAGTTTCTTCTCTTACTGAGCTTACTTTTATTTCTATTTTCTTTATTCTTTTAATTCCTTCTTCTACTCCTCAATATATTATTATTCCAAAGCTTCCTTTTGTTTATCCACCAATTTATCAAGATCATCTTATTCTACTGCTTCTTCCTCATTTACTTCATCGTCTTCTCCTTCTCCTTCAGCCTCATCTAGATCTTCATATTCAGCACTTTCTTGTTCCTCCTATTATTCTAGTTACTTTTATTCTCTCTTTTGTTTTGATAAGAAATGCTTGATCTTACTTCTCCATTTTAATAATTATATAATTTCTCTCTTTCCTAATACTTTAATATCCTCCATCAATATTTCATAATCCTAAGGAGGTTTAGCAAGACCCAAATACTTTTGTTTAGCTTCCTCAGTCATCTTGATTCCTGCATATTCAATAAAGATTGGATATGGATTTTCTGCATGAAGAAACTCCTCAAAATCTATCATCTAATAGACAGTTTAATGAACATCATCAGCATATCCGCTTCTATGTCTTTAGGTTCTCTTCTAAAGTATTTTGTCAACAGAGACAATTTCTTTCTAGATCTACTATTATAACATATCAGTTTCAGTATCTTTGAACACATGTTTAGAATCAAATAATTTCTCATCAATGTATTCTGGTGCCAAATAGTCTAAACAAACAACAAAAATTTCAGCTGACACAAATCTACTTGCTAAGGGTTTAGTGGCTTCTACTTTTGAAAAGAATTTGTTAAAAACCCACATTAAGGAATTGTAATCTGTTGATCTAAAGACCTTTGTGACAAACACTCCTCCTTTCTTTAAAAATTAAGATGCCAATCTCAAGGCTGATAAAACTAAATCATTTTAGTTATAAGCATCCTTAGCCCAACTGGCTCCCACATTAGGCGCACCATCATGTAAGAATACATCTGCTTTTTATGGTATTTCCTTTTTAAGCAATTACACACATTGTGGTGTTGTAATGTCCTAGGTGAATGCTTTGCATCCTGGAATTGGTTTGATGTGAACCAAATCCAAACCAATTATGGTTGAACTTGAAGGCATAATTTGAGCACACACTTGCATCCATCCTCCTGGGGCTGCACATAAATCTACGACTGTTCTTGCATTATTGAGAAAATTGTATTTGCGATTTAATTAGAACAATTTAAACGCTGCTCTTGATCTATATCCCTGATCCTTAGCAAGGTTGTAATATTTATCCAGACGAGAACGAGCTTTTGTTTTTCTAGGCATTTTGGTTATTAAAATTAATTTGTGACCAGAATAATAATTTACACACAATATCAATTATTTGTATTCAATAATTATAATTAAGAGCATCCATTGAAATAATAAAAATAAACAAAAACTTTTATGAATCAAAATTCAATTTTTTCTGTTAACTAATTGTTTTATCAACTTTTGACTGTTGTCTAGTTTTGGAACATCACTTAACCTATTCTGGATTTACAATTATAATTTTCTAATTTTTAAAATATTGTGATACTGTAAATTGGTTTATTAAAATTTAGTTTATTTTAATTGGTTTTCCAAATTGAAGTTTTCTTGATCTAGTCTTATCTTATTTTGCAATTAAATTGGAGTGGAAGGAGCTGAACTTTTCTGTTTAACTTCCATCTATTTACAGTAATTAGTAGTTAATGGAAATCCTTTTTATTCATGTACTGACTTATGGGTTTCCTATTTTTGACTCATCATTTAATTAAAAGCCTTCTAAAGAGTACTGATTTATTCCCCATATTTAAGTTTTACTTTAGAAATTTCATTCTACATCTCTTGATTCAATTGAATGATCTTATCTTCAATTTGCTTCTTTTTCAGCAGAGGAGATTCTGTAATTGCAGTAGTTCTTTATTGATTCAAACTCTATAACCCAAATTCAGACTAAAAAAGATAAATGCAATCTATACCACTCTATTCATAGCCTTTTCATACTTATCTACATCTTGATATTGATGTTCTAGCATAGTTCCTGTTTCGTTCATTTGGATATCGTCAATATTGTTAATAATCATTGTTCCTAGATCTTCTTCTTCTTCACATTCTATTAAAGTGTCTAATGGGACTCCAACCTATTCTTGGGAGTATTGAAATTATTATTCATCCTACTTCTTCTATTTACTTAGTTTATATGATTCGATTTGCTTTTTGCATTTTAGAATGAATTATTGAATGTATTCTCTGCTCTTACAATATTTTTGAAAGAAGGGATCTTATAATAATTCTTTAGTGGAGGGCCTCTCCTTGGGATCTAAAGTTAGGCATCTTTTTACAAATTAATTGAATTCTCTTGACCATTTACTTTAATCAGTCAATGAGTTAGGGGGATTATTTTTAATAGCAAACATTGCCCTAATTGGATGTATGTGTGCATAGGGGGGTTCCCCTTCTGCCATTTCAATTGCTGTGATGCCCAAGGACCAAATGTCAGTCTTTTTACTGTATCTTGATTTCAGCAGAATCTCTGGTGACATCCAAAAAGGACTTCCAATCACTGTATCAGTGTCAGCCATAGTGTGGACTAATTAAGTGGAAACACCAAAGTCGGCTAATTTAATATTGCCCAAATGATCAATTAGAATATTTCCACATTTAATATCTCGATGTATTTTTTTGTGGCTGTGCATGTAATCAATGCCTTTTACTGTTTAATATAGAATGGTGGCAATTATTTCTTCGGGTAAAGGATATTGCAAAGCCTTAATCAGTTCTAAAACACTTCCACCTGAACAATATTCCATTATTAACCACAATTATCCATTTGAATGATAGGATCCGAAATATTTGACTATGTTATCACATCTACAATCTCTTAGTATTTGAATTTCTCTTTTGAGTGATTCAATCTCACCAGAAGATGGTACTATTTTTATGGCGACTACCTTCCCATTGTCCAATTGTATCCCCTTGTATACTTAGCCATACGATCCCTCTCCAATTACACATTCCAAACGATAATAATTCTCTGGGTTGATTTGAGTTTCATTCATATTTTGAATTTATTTAAATTAATCGTTGATGGATAATATACCACAAGCACAGTATAATATTTGGTCATCATTTTAAGGAAGAAATATGTTCTCACAGACATAATGAAAAAGAGAAAGCATCAATCAAGTCTAAATGAGGAGAGAGCACGATAAATTAAGGAGAGAATCCAAAAGAAAAAATAAAAGACTAAGGATTTTGTGCATCCTGAAAAGTTTGTGGATAAATATCGTAAACAATAAACAGCATATTCTTATTTTAAAAGAAAAGTACTCCCCATCCATAACTTATTTAGGAACGCAAACAAAATTTAGAAACAGTCGATGTAAAATCTATTCCAATTAATAAAACATTACTTGTGGTGAGAATTAGAGGGTATACAAATTTAGCTAGATTATTTTAGTGTTAAAGATATCTCCAACAGACAACAAAAATTACTGAAGGAATTCAGATTAAACAAGGTTAACACAGCTGTTTTTGTGAAGACTACTGTAGATATTTGGAAGAAGCTGAAATTAGTTGAGAATTACATTACTTATGGGTAATGATTCCAAATCTATTTAGATTGCCAACACGATAAATCATCAATGATTTAATTGTCAAAAGAGGACACATCATGAAAGATAAAGAAATTATTGCATTGAAATCCAATGAAATCATTGAAGAGTATATGAGCGAGAAGGACATTATTTGTGTTGAGGACATTGTGAATACTATTGCAAATGCATCAGAGAATTTCGACTTTGTTACCAAATTCTTAGTGTATTATATTTAAATATTCATTAGACCATTAAAATTAAATCATCCTGAAGGACAATTAAAAAGCGGCAAGATTAAAAAGCCATTGACCAAACAAGGAGAGTGGGGTTACAGGGAGGAAAGAATAAACAGCCTTGTAGAAAACATGATTTGATTTATATTATATATGTTATCAAATTATATTAACATCTCCAAAATTATTATCATAATAAATTCCATTACAATTTAAACTATACAATTGAATTTTGGATAGAAAATATATTATGCACTTTTGCTGATGTGATAAATTGAATTGCATTAACAAATTTCATTAATTATTTTGAATTCAAAATAAAATATCATGCTATAGCAGACTATTGATGAAAGCATTCTCTAATAAGTATTTTAGTTAATTTATTGTAGTTGAGACGCATTTTAAGTTTTGACTTCTTAAGTAGAAACTATTTTCTATTAAGAAAATTTGATCCGAACTCAGGCTGTGTAATGCTTCAGAGTTTGGCCAAAGAAAAAAGCTTTAGACCTTTAATAGATTACCCGTATGGGGTAGAAGCACTTGTCAATGTATAAATTAGCCATATTTGTTTTTTAGATATTGATCCAATACAACTACAGCAATTGGATTTTTGATCAAAATTTCAATGTAGTTAGACCCATCTTTGCATAAGAGAGAAAATAAGTCCAAATTTTGATCAAAAAGAATTAAGTAGATGATTTTAAGACATTCTTACAAGAATTAGATCTTGTAAAGGAATGTGAAGTGTAAGAAGCAGAGTACATAGCAAATAAGGATATGATAAAGTTGTTCATCATTTTTGACAATGAAGACGAAGCGTAAATGAGCTTTGGCAAAATCTAATAACAAAAAGCTACAGTAACTTATTCATATAAAACCTAGTACTCAATACAAAATGCGAAAATGGAAGAAGTTGATTACTTTGCCAAATTTCTAAGCATAGTCCAATTAAAACAATAATAATTTTAAGAATACAGGATGAACAACCCAAGAAATTATGAAGATAGGCAAGCGGAAGATTAATAATTTTCACATAAATAAACACAAAATTAATAATAATATTAATAATAGAAATTCTATTAAAATCATTAACAAGAAAAATAATAATAATAAGAATACACCTCTTCAGACATTGTTAATTAAAGATTGAATCAGATCAGATCAAGTGAAAAAATAGAATTCAATTATGCTCCATTGTAAGAACAGTAGTCCCTGTTCTCCTTTGTACCCCTTGTCAATCCCACACAATAGGTGGCAATTCAATAAAACACTTAATTTATTGAAAAGAAAAACTCAATTGAAATATTACCCACAGAGGTAGTTCTTGAAAGCACTCGAAAATAGGATGTTGAATAGATTGAGACTCAAAATAATTAAATGCAAATGACAAGAGAGACAGAGTCAAACAAGGAGAATTCAGTGGAAAGAAACAACTAAAAAGCAAATTAAGGAGAATTATATTAACAAAAGTAACACGTCAAGCATGGATATTAATAAAATGGATATGTAAGATTTATTTATAGCTTAGTAATAGAAGAGAAGAAATAACTATGATTATAATCAAAGTAAATATCATAACAATAGAAAACCACAATATTATAGTATTTAAATTAAGTAATTTAGATCGTTTAGAGGATGACCTAAAGGAATTTACTGGGTATAAGAAGTACCAACAACGATAATAGAAGGAATATTACGAAGTAAAGAAGGAATATTGATTTCTCAATCATTTTTGTTATTCCATAACTTTACATTCTCCAAACCAATCCGTATATATATAAATTATAAATGATTAACTTCTCTCTAATTCAAACTTACTTATATTCATAAATCTAATACTTTCATAGAGAAAATCAAATTAAATAGACAAAATTATAAGGTTCATTCTATAAATTTATTCTATAGATAAAATTCACATAGATTTTCAAAATTTGTTTCATGTTGTGCTTTAATTAGATAATGCAATCAAGAATTTATGCAGGTAAATTCCTAAATTCGTTACTACAACTTCGTCTAAGATTTAACAATATAGATTGAGAGTTATCAATAATTATGAAATATTTTATTATATTTTATTCAATAATATTTCTGACGGAATGGCATCACAGATGTATACATTTATTAGAATTGCATTAGAGTATTTAAGGAGAAGGATTACGAATTTATTTATAAAACCAGAGCCATTTAATTATAATAAACTACAGACAATCCATTGAGATTAGACAGGCCAAAGGTTACAATACAAAGAGGAAGGAAAGCTAATGTGTAAATAAGAACAAAAGGAAATTTCGTTGATCCTTTGTCGAGAGCAGCTACTCAAAAAGCTTAAACAAATCCATTAAGCAGACCACAAACTGTGGATCCATTGGCTAGACCTTCAGCTTAGCCAACTCAAAAAATAGAATAGTCATAGCCACAAGCCTAGGCAAGAAGTGTTGAACCAAATAAGCCCTAATAGTAATAATAATAGTAGGAAGGCAAACTTGAAATTGATGCAGAAGAGAAATAATTAAAAGCTACAGGAGAATTTTCAATTTATTGGTCAGAAATAAGAGATGACTTCTAAAACATATTTCAAATTAAAACGTATGATTTAGAGCAACCAGTACCAAATGTATAAACAAATTATATGCTAGCCTTTTGGATCCAATGTTCAAACTATGAATTAATTTGATGGGTAAGCGAAATCCGCATATAGTGGAGACAGCAAAATTGAATATTAGACACAGGCTCCAAAGCAAGGGACATCAAAAATGATCTAATAAAAAACCTACATTCAAAAAGTCTTGGATATTAGAAGAGATTTGAAGAGACAATGGATTAACGGAGACAAAGTGGCATCCTTATAATTAGCAATCTAATCTTGCAAATTACTAATTGATAATGATAAGCCTCTGTTTGCTCCAGTCAAATATGTTTACATTATTGACATTTTGGAAACCTTTGGCAAATTCGTAATTGAGAGATTGTTAAAATTAAGTTATCCACAGTATACAGATCAAAAGATTGCTGAAATCAGTTTGTAAAGTGTGGTTGGATCAAACATCTCTGAAACAGCTTCAGAAATAGGAAGAAATTGGATAAATAAAATAGGATCTATAAGAGAATTATTACCTCGATTGTATATAGAAGCCACTCTGTTGAAAGTTTACTATTTTATTGATTAAACCTAAATTAAACCAATATTCCAAAGACTCATTAAGTAAGTAAGGGCAATTGGTGATTATATTAATGTATTTAGATGTTTTATTCAATTAGGCTTTGTATTTTGCACTTTATCTATTTAGAATAGGAGCAGAATTATTCTCAGGTGAGAAGGATTATCTCATATCCACATTAAAAGATTTCTTTATCTATATGAATCAAAAAAATAAATTTGGTAAATTAGACGTATAAGGAGACTAATATCTAAGATTGTTTGAACCATATTTAATATAGACATTCAGACAATATTCATAGAATTGTACCGAAGTAACTTATTTAATTAAATTGAATTTAGAGAGAATTCAAGGATATTTTTGAACATTTTCGATAGAGTACTTAAAATCATTTTGTTTTGAAAAAAATGATTGAATAATTTTAGGCTGTTCATATTAGTACACTAGCATTAGAGTTATTTTCAATAATGCAAGCTTACCCTGTGGATAATAAATATTAATTATATGCTTGTTTTTTACCTAAAATAGCTAAGGGATTAACTAATGTAGCTGCTGGTGCTGAGATATGTGAATATGTTTTATAGGACATCTTATAAATAAAGTCATTTTCCCTCTTTTTAGAGATCTTGGCATCATTAATTGAATTGATTTTTAGATCCTTTTAGGGATATCAGAAAAATTAATTCTTTTTCTTGATTTTACAAAGATTCAATGATTTATTTAGTATGGTTGAAAAGGATCAAGTAAATACCAATCAAAGTAAGGATACTTTTATTAAATTGCATTAATTTATTATTAAAATATTTTAAGATTCTTAAGATATTTCAGAAATACTTTAAATTGACACATTTATTACTTGTATCTAATTTTTCCCTGAGGACATGAAGAAGCTAGTGTGTAATGATTTGCTTTCGATGATAATAAATAGGGATTAAAAGGAAAAAATAACTGATCCTATGGCAGTACATTCAATTGTAAAGTTGACAGCAAATTTGAATAATAAGAAGTCAATCACCAAGGATGAATAAAAAGGATTGGCAAAAATAATTAATTAATTATTGTAAAAGATTGATTTTGGTAAAGATTTAGAATAAACATTGAATCTATACGCTGAAATGAGAGGTTAATTTGGAAATATAAGTGGACTATCTGAAATTTTGATAGATAGAGCTTTAGATTTAATTTTTAGAGGTAAGCGATTATCTAAAGGAAAAAATCAAAAGAAAATAATTTCATTTTATTAAGCTTGTATAGCTTATAGTTTTATCACTATTCCCACAATAGATAATCCAATATCAAGACTCAGAAAATACATTCAAGTGGCTCAAGTTGGTTTATCGTTGAACTTGTTATCTCAAAGTGAAGCAGTCATTAAAACTACTATTGAAAATCTACTTGAATTACCTGAAACATTTAATGGCCGACCAATCGATGAAATCGTTGTGCCATACATTTTGGATTTAATTTCCTTCATTATTGTTGTCCCTGACGACCCTTCTGCTGGCTACTTGAACATTTTCCAAGGTTTATTGAAAGCACTTGAGTAACTCAAATGGAATCCAAAGAATGGAGGAATTCACTCAATTGTAATCTATGTTAATTGCATTCAATACTTGTGCGCTTAAGTTTAAGAAAGATTGCCTTATCATTTTGAGAATGTTAAATCAAATGATGCTTTGTTCAATAAGGACTCTTAATTTAGTTTGACCATATTGGAATTAGTGCAATAATTGTATGTTAAATTGGGGGAGCAAGCTTAAGCAATACTAAAATCAAACATTACTGATTCAATAGTAAGATTATGTTTTATATAAAAAGGAAAATGGTTTGATTGTAAAACAGATGTTAAGTTGCTTGAATAGATTGCTATTGTTATTAAAGTTTAATAAGGAAGCAGAAACCACATTTGCCATAATGGTTGATTTAATACATAAAAAAATAAATGAATTAAACCGAGATAGAACTGGAAAGGTGTAATTGACCATATTAAAAGCATATTTCCTGTAAACTTTTATTAACATTGAGAAGTCGACTACAGTAATCAATTATTAATAATTTTAGTTTAATTTTGAGGAGAAAAAGAATTAAATGGTAAACATATTAGAAAGTGCAAAAAATTGAACATTAATTTCATTTGGATTGTTATATTTAATAAATGTATTTCTTATATTTAAATTACTCTAAACTTTTAGTACAAATATATTATAATCAAAAATTCAAACCATTTCTGTTTCTGATTGATCAACCTAACTGATTCTACTAAATTATTATCTTTTAATAAATGATTATGCTAATCTGAGTCCCAGAGGTATTATCATTAAAAATAAGATTGATATTTTTATGTAGTGAAATTATGCAAAAAATATTTTGCATAACAATCTCATTGTTTCAGAGGACCCTCCTATCTTACTTGTTGCTTTCTTTTCAAAACCCTAAAACCAATATATAGCAATATAGGTCAGGAGATATTGAATATTTTAGCCAATTTAGATTAATATTTGATCAGATTCAATTTTGATTAGCATTTATTATTTTGAATAGAAAGCTAACAAGTAACAAGGGAAAAATAATATTGAAAAACCAGAGATATCATGAGTTTCAAATTTAGTTTTAGGATTATACCCTCCTCCACTTGTACAGAGTCGTTATTTTAAGATATTTTATTTCCACTACTATTTCATATCTATTATTGATTGTTCATAATGCCTTTCAAAATACAAGAGAAATACTAAGGCAAACACCATCAATGAGACCAATAATACCTTTAGGTATCTATAAGGGTTTAACAATAGTGAGTTGCTGAAAGCCTTCTCTATCATTTTCTCCAAACCACAATAGTAATATATATAGAGTATATATCCTCCTATGATCCAACCTATTACGATTTAATTTAAGAAGTGAACTCCAAAGTATAATCTCCCAATACCTATAAGGAATGCAAAGGTTGCAATAAACATCTTATACTTTGAATAGGAGATATATTGATTTTCATAAATCTATTTATATAATTCAGAACTAAGAATTAATCGAAAGAATACTTAGAGATTTCTTTGAGGTCGTACATCTATTTTTCAGAGTCCAAGAGCGTGCTGTTCTCTGAATTGTTGTATTTCTTTAATACAATAGTCTCAATTAGTATTGCATAGAACACAAACGACCTCAGAGAATGGCCACTTGGATCTCCATACCCAGTATAGCAGAAATCCAGTTTGATTTGTGGATCTAGGTAAAATGGTCTTGGCTGAGTCATAACCATCTTTATTAAGTTGCCAAATGCTGCAGCTATTGCATTCATTGTAATGAGCTTGAATATCTGAATCTTGTTTTAAGCTTTCAACCAAATCAAAATTGTTAAGACATTAGTGCATTCTGCATCACCTGCGGTTGAGAATATCAAGAGTATGTACTCTAAAATATTTCAAGAGTTATACCGAAAATTCCAGTTTCTTTTCCATATTCAAATTACATTTGGAGAAATTTTGTGATTTCGTTACTTATGTTGTATGTTAAGCCTCCAAAAAGGTGGTCTAAAACCAAGAGAAATAGGAGTATCAAAGTTGAGAGTATTAGTTTTTACATTAAATAAAGAAAAATTAGAATTCAAAAGAATTTAAAAATAACTTCTGAAATTCCAATATTCTTATCAAGAGATATGAATATTTTATATAAAATAAAATTTAATCAATTTTACATTAGCATTAGAATAAGCTAAAATCGATTGTTGGAGAATGTTTTTTGATAAAAATTGAATAATTCAAATGTTTAAGTTGGAGACCATGCAGCTCAGAATTTTTCACTAATGGATAAATTAAATTTTCGTTAAATTATAGTATGATTCATCAATTCCAAGCTCTCTGATTTGATGGAAATACGAACATCTTCATCCTCCCTACTATTGTTTATCTTCTTAAAAAAATAAAGAAAAGTAAATGATACAAATACATTCAACAATGTTATAATCTGAATGTTATTTATAATGTTAAATGAAAATAAATTATATGAATATATTTATATTGATTGCATTTATAGTAACTAATGCAGAACTAATCAAAATACATGAAGAAGTAAAAGAGAGCTTTGAAGGGAACAATAGTATAAACAAAATTAAAATTTAGGATGGACTATTAAAAATGGAAAAGTGCAAAAAGAGTTTTGTAATTCTAAATTAGTTTTTGGAGGATTTGGTGGTTAAACAGTTATTAGCAAATTATTGATTGTTCCGACTCATGCATATATTAAAATAGGCGTGGATATTTGGAGGTAGTATGCATTGGTATGACAAAGTTCTAATTAATGGGGATAAGTTAAAGTATACTTGGATCATGTTGAAATATTGTCCGTATAGATCCAATAAAGATGTAGTGAAAATGACTATTACTTAAGTACTTTTACTTCTGAATTTACTCACAGTGGAGCGTCTATTATATTAGTGATGAGTGGGAATGGTGAGGAGAATGATAATAAAGTATTGATAAAACTTAGAGCTAGTGGGGATTTCGAAATCTGGAAATTTCAATTGAAAAATGTCCATAATCTTGCTAAGTTTGTGATTAGGGAGATATTGCAGAGACATGTTAAATTTGGAAGAGTGTTTAAAATAGTTGGACTGCAGCCCATACAAACTTTATGGGTTTGGATGGTTGGATGTCCATAAATGGAATAAGTGGATCCTCAAAATGCGGAGGTACAAAGAATCACGCTATTATAATAGGAGTGCCATTAATAGGAGGTTATTAAAGGTTTGGAAATAATCAGGGATTGAGCAAGACAATCCGTTTATAGCCTCATTACAAACTAAGATTATTAGTTTTATGGGCTAAGATCGACTCTTGGGATAATGAAAATGGATTAATTCTATTTGATGGGAAGCAAGTTTGGAATTAAAGTTTTAATAATGACAATGGATATCAAGTTAAGGTCTGTGGTAATTCTGAATCTAAATATCACACTCTATTTAAAAGGATAGATATTACAGTTGATCATTCAGGTGCTTAAGTAAAGATAGACTTTTAGTCATCTTTAGATTAAGGTTCAGATGATGAATCTTTTGGTTTAAGGGATCTGCAATTATTCTATGCTCCTTGTTAGGATCAATGTGAAGTATGTAAAGGTGAATTTGGAAGTGAATGTATAAGTATTGATATATTTGTATATCTTCAGGATGTTCTAATTATCAGTTTTAGACTTTGAACGGATGCTCTGCTCCAAGAAGTTACTATATATTAGAAAGAAACTTTTATGCTTAAAAGTTTACAAGTCTGGAGGGATGGATATTAAAGGAGACTCAGTAGAATTTAATAATCACCAATTATTAAGATAAAACGATTGTTGGAGGTTATGGGATTTTGGGAGTGGGAGCAACGGCTGAGAAGTTGTTCATCTTACCTCCTCATACTTAATTGAGATTGGAGGTTACTTTGTACAAAATTGATTCATGGGATGGAGAAAATATAATAATTGAAGTTGATTCTTAAGATGTTTGGGATTCCTAGAGGTTATAAGACTCACAGGACTTCTTATATGGAACTGCTTATTTTGGCACTACCATCTACGCCAGTTGTTATGTTACACATGATAAATAGGAAGCTCTTGTAAGGATAAAATCAACTTTAGATGAAGGTGCTGATAATGGTAATATATCTTAATGAGTGTAGAATCATGGGGATTCAGAGACTTTTGTTTGATGTATGATGTGGCTAATGTAGTTGAAATTTCTGATGCCTAAGAATCATATTTATTAACTTTAGGAATAGTAATGATTATTAGTTTTATCTGATACGAAATCAGTTACATTATTTTATATAGAATCAACAAATTTATATAATAATATTATGTTTATACAAACCGAATCACCATTCCAATACATCTAAGCTCTTTTCAAAGTCAGCAGAACCTTCGTAAAATTGGGAATACCATTATCTCCAATTTAATAAGGCTTGGTCAGCCTGCGATTTCATATTATATCTTAGGGTTTCTGAGAATATCTTAGCATTCCATAATTTGACATCGAAGATCACCTATCTTAATTCAGCATGAAGAAGATAGGCAGATAACCAATAAGGTAAGTAGCTATTTGTAAATACAGTGTGATAGACTTTTTATGTGAATTTTTCTACAGGTTGGATTGCCTACTTAAATAGCACCTCAAAGATGGCACTCTTAACGTACAATGCAACTGTTGCTGGGCCCATCTAGAATCCAGTTGCCCAAACTGCATGGAATTTGTACTTATTAAACAAAATGACATATCCATCTAACAACAAAACATTCAAATATGGAATGAGTTCTTTGTTCACAAGATATTGATCAAATAAAGTTTTTTAGTATGATCTACACTTTTCAGCTGGATGAGTCATTTTCTCTAAGAAATCATGATCTTTGGCATTTTTAGTTCTCATCTCCCATCTTAGTTATACCAACCAAGAGGGGATGATATCCATAGCTGAATAATGAACATAATCAAAATGTTTCATATCAGCACCATTTTCTGGAATTTCTTGAATGTGACAATTCACATAATTTACACTCTCAGCTCTCAAAGTAAGATGTTCACTTTACTCATTCACTAGATCATACCATCTAAATTAATAAAAAATATGTACGGTTTTTATTCTTTGGAATGTAGCCAAATATATACAATTCCTTTGAGTTCTTTTACAAGATAAGTTTTAATTTTAACTTCTCCATCAGATATTTTCTATAGATACTCTCCTTTCTGGTTTTTGGTCACTCTCTCAATATCAGGATAACAATATGTTGAAACTACTTTAGGATCTAATTTATCTGAGTTAACACATAAGCCACTTTTACCGTCGAATGCCCATCCATGAAATGGACATCTAATTATGATATAAGTAATTACTCTATGCAGGATCTGAATTTTACTTAGCCTCCAATTCCTAAATTAGCACCCATATGCGGACAATAAGCAGCCACTGCATACACTGTTTTATCAGTTCCTCGATAGTATGCTATGTGTCTACCACATAATTTGATTTCTTTCACTTCTCTATTTTATTATCATTCAAATATACCCTGATTACAATTCCCCAGATCTACATAGACGATACCAGCCATTTGGATAAGAGGGAGGGCATTTTCCTCTTGGCAATTTGTTTCTTATATTGTGTTGTTCCAATTTCTCGACGATTGAAAAGAATTTGAATTTCCTGTAATACAGGTAGTAGAGGACGAAGGCAATCGATGTTAGGATGACTTCCCATGAGAAGATTATCATTTTGAATAGGATTTAATGAAATAAATTTATATTTTATATCTTCTTTTGTGTATACAGTTATATTATTTTAATATTTAATCAGTTAACAATGGCAGAGGAAGAAGATAATCAAGTATTGCAATTTGAAGGAGATGACGAAGAATAAAAAGTAATCAAATTAACTATTTTCATAGGATAATCAATAACAAAAATCTCCAAATGAACAAAAGGAGGAACAGGTTAATAATTATGATTAAAACTATAATCAAGAGCCAGAACCACAATCTAATGATCTAAAACCCCTTGAATCTGAAAAATAACCCATCTAAGTGGTTCCTGATGTTGAAGAAGGGTTTTTCAATCGAATTAAAGGGTGCTCTTGCAGGAGACAGGCTGATGAAAAAACAGATGAAAACAATGAAGGGTGCATTACAAAGTTAGATAAATTTATACAGAAATACTTCACTCCTACTTATTTGCTTCTAGTATACTATTCTGTCTTTTCCACAGCATTGCTCTTTTCACTAAAATTGATCATTTAGGATTAAGATCTGTATCATGCTGAAATTTTAGGGGTACTTTTAAATTTAAAATATTAGGGCTTGTTTCTATTCGTACAACTTTTGAAAGGATTGCTAATCTATTTTCTGAATGACGAATGGCTCGATGAATTGCCTTATTTGGATAGCACCTTTGAGAATGGGTGGAGATTATTTAAAATAACATTCTTTGTTCTAACCAATTTAGATATTTGTTATTGGATCTATTACATCTATGCTTAAAATAAAAAGGATGGCACCATTGAACACATGATGACCTTATGTAGAATGGTCGATGCATTCTTCTTCAATTTCCCTCTAATGATAATATTTTTCTATCTTTAATTGCAAGACTTGCAAACCATTCAAATACCTTATTTAGTTATTGCAGGACTCAATTTGCTCCAAATAGTTAATGGATTCATGCACTTAAACTTTTTTGCTGGAAGTTCCTTCTTAAGCATCAGATGGAGCATTTAACTCATTTGCGAATTGTATGTTAAACTCCTCTTAGTTGAGTCAGTGTACATTTAGTTGGCAGAATTCAATATTCAATTTGAATACTTCGGGTTATTCTGTTTGTGTGGCCTTATTCAATTTTACTTATTCTCTGAAGATCAAGATATAATTGGATAATTGTTATCCATAGTCTATTTCCAATTGAAAACATTCTTTGTTATTACATTCAAGGAAGAAAGCTTTGGAATGTCAGATTTGGATTGTGATGCATAACCTGGAATTCTTAATGTTGTTGTTCAAAAATCAACGTATTTTTTACATTTTATCTAGTTACTCCTATATTTAGAAGGCATTCAATTTCTTCCAATTGCTATCCCTCGCTTTCATTTTTTGGCTTTTTGGTGGATGGGATAATATCATGAAGAATGAGATACTTTATTATCTGTACCTCGTAGGATTAGGATGTTTAGGTATTATATCCTTGAATTTGTTATATATTGTTCTAAGTGGATGGAAAAGGAACATGGTCAAACCTTGAATTATAAATTTTAATAAAATTTTATTTAACCCTAATAATTTATTATAAATTATAAAAATAAATAATAAATATTCTGTCATAAAACTAAATTTAACTTAAATATGCATTATCAGGAAGAAAGATTACATATTTATATAATTTGAAAGTATAATTGTGAAATCAGTAACATTTTTTTAAACTTGTAGATAAAGAACTAGTAAAATGAAACGATATTATAATTATCGAAATTTTGTTATTACATCAAAATACCAATCATTATCACATTTACTACTTTACGTATATTATTATCATTTCCAATTATCTTTATTAATTAATAACAAAATACATTTCTTTATTAAAATTATTTAAAAATTATTATCTTTATTTTTAAATTAGTCACGAATAGAAAAAGAGAATGCTCCATTACCATTCTGAAATCCTTGTGACAAAGGTAGATGCTCAAGACTATACTCCCAGTAATTAGCATTTTCTCAATATGTTATTGCTGTGATTTTTTATAAAGAGAAGTCCAAAAAATTAATATTATACAGTCACAAACCCTGAATTAATTTCTAAGGCCTCTATTTTTATTATTATTAATCTGAGATCGTAAAGGCCTGCTCAATTACCAGAATATCCTCTTGGGATTTCATTTTCTTCTTATCTTCGAAAAGCACAGAATTAAGGCAAGCACAATAATGTAATGAATACAGATTTAATTCGTTTAGAAATATATAAATTATAGAGATCAAGATAGCAGAGCCTAAATACCCAATCGGCCTTTGATTGTGATTTTATTCTTTTGTATTGAATTTAAACCAATTCTCGTTTCAAGGGGTTTAGAAATCCCTATCACAAATTTGTGTTGTTGTAAGGTTGTTAAAAAATGGTCCTGGTCTTGCAAAATGGGCTATTCATTCAAATCTGTGTCTACAAACTCCCACTCATTTAGCTTTGATGATGTTGAGAGATCAACTTAGGATAGCTTTTTCTGGGTTTTTTCAAGTGTTTCCATATAAGCGATTGATATATTTATCGAAATTATTATAGTGTTATCTTAATTTTAATAATAATCACTAAATCATATTATCTTCAGTGAGGCCAATTAAATAACAATAATTTTCAATCAATTTTATTTCTCAACAAAACCTCGAGCCCTTACTGTTCCTTATTAGTAATTAAAGTCTTCTGTAAATGTGTGATTAATCAAAAACAATCACAAAAGTGCCTCATAACAAGAGAGACAATTTTACTAGGAGAATAAGTGGTTGAAATAATTAATATGAATTTTAATCTTTGATTCCTAAGTTAAAGTGGCCATAAGATATTATGAAATAAAAAAACTGAATATTATCACGTAATAATTAATTTGTATTTATAAAATAATTTAATCCAACACCAATGGGATCTAAGAATTCAAAAGAAACAAGTAAGATTTACAACGATAACTTTAGGTTCAAGTGATGCTGCATAGACAAGTTAAAAACAGGATAAGAAACAGGTTCAAGTTGACGCAAATGAGAAATCCAATTCAAGGAGTTCAAAGACCAAAATGAAATCGTTACCGAATAAAGAGTAATACATGAACGATGTGCCTTAATTAGAAGAAGAATAGCCTTAATAACACTAAATAACATTCTATAAGGGAGATTTTGAGAATCAAAATTTTCCTCAATTGGATCAGTCAACAGTTTTCAATAATAATGCTCAAAGCTAGTTAAAAGAGCAAGGAATAGGCTCATCTCTAGATGCAAATGTGGAAATTCATGATGATCAAGCTATGGATGTGAATGGATGCAGAAACAAATTGAGAAATAATAGGCTGTTTTAGATGGAAGAGCATGATCCAATAATAGTGGCCATTTTGGATGATTTGGAATGTAAAACATCCAGTCATCATCCATCGAATGCTTAGGCTAAGCTATATCATGGTTCTTAAATAATGATAAAGAATCGCATTATAGCTGGCTATTGGAGCAAGTTGGGACCGTATAAAGTAACAAATTTTCACTTCAAACCATTTGAACTTCATGGGGATTAGGTTTATTATGGAGAGTGGTTTTAATAAAAAAGAAATGGTTTTGGATTTTTGATTTGTGATGATTTTATTTATGAAGGATATTGGTTGAATGATGTTTATAACGGTGATGGAAGGATGATTTGCAAAGATGGAAATATCTACATTGGAGAGTTCAGAAATGGCTTATTTAATGGTGATGGTTTCCATCTTAACAATGAATAAATAGTTTATGAAGGAGAATGGCAAAATGGATAAAAGAATGGAATTGGAAAAGAGTAAATGCCTGATGGATCAGTTTTTGTTGGTCAGTTTCAAAAGAATTCAAGGAATGGTTAAGGGAAACTATACAATAATAAGGAATAATTTGTGTTTGAAGGATAATGGATACATGGAAAGGCCTTAGAATAAGGTAGAGTAATTTGGTAGGATGGTAGAATATTTGAAGGGAAGTGGTGTAATGGAATGATGCATGGTCATGGAGTATTTATATGGCCAGGAGGCAAGAAATACATTGGGAATTATGTGAACAATGTAAGGGATGGATATGGAGAATACTATTATCCAGATGGAAAGATATATAAGGGAATGTGGAAAAAGGGATTGATGCATGGATAGGGAATCATAATCTATCCAAATAACTCTCATGAAAAGGGACAATGGAAACTAGGAAAGAGAGTTGTAAGTTAAGAAAAGAAAGATAATGAAAAGTCTAAAAAAAAATAAGAAAATAAGGCTATCTTGCCACTTTGATAATATTTTGATATTACTTATTTTTAGAGTTATTGTAATAATAAATAAACCTAAAGTTATCTTATTCAATTATAAATCATTCTTTAAGTGCACAAATAAGTGCTGTTCCTCTTAATGTCCAATAATCAGGAGGTTAATCTAAAGTTGGTAAATCCTAAGATTATATACAATTATAAATAATTACCACAGCCAAAACGTAATTTGTACTTTGTCCTGTAGTGGATAACACACCAGCTCTAGTTTATGTTTTGTAAACAGGACAACTAATAATTTAATCACAATTGATACCTATAATTATCAGATCTCTATTAATATTTGTCCTATTGTATAGGCAAGAAGTGGATAACTGGCATCAACATATTCATTTGACCCTAAATATAAACAATAATATATTACAAAGTTAAGATCAGCCAGACATTTCTTCTTCCATTGAGCTCCTTCTAAGAACAGCCCATAAATAAACACTCCATCAACTGGCTTGATAGAGCATTATTCCTTCTCGAATTCTTACACCTTAAATGAGAAAACAAGGTTATCAATAGCTATGGCTGTCTTACGAGCATGAGTTTATAGACAACCAGTTAAAAATCCTTAGGGATAAAAGAACCCAGATATCCAGAAACAATTGGGTCCTCCTGTAACAAGCCATTCTGACATGAACTTAACTCTTTCTTTCAAGTCTCTAATCCATGATGCCAAACCTTTTAATGACAAATATCCGACTTTATTCCACACCTTTGGAACTTCATTATTCATAAGTGAATAATACATGCTATCCAATTCTTAACTCATTACCACTATACCTTCAATAGCTTATGCTAATCCTTACAGTGTTCTACCCATAGTTGAAAGCAAAATGTTAAAGCGCTCTAATTCTTACAATAGCACTGTAGACAATGATGGAATTAGATTTTTCTCTGGATTAATCTACCATAGTTCTTTATTAGATTCTTCTTTATTTAAGAGAGGAGGGAGATCATCTTAGATACTCTTGACAAGCTCTAATACTATTTAATCAGGTGTTTTTTCTGATGATCCTCCGCCTTCTCTTGGCTAAATGGATAGGATAGTTTCTAGAATTGAGTCACTTTCTCTTTATTAGAATGTAATATTAGCATTTTCATGCATACCAAAAACTGCAGGATCATCAGTCATAGGTAGAGATTCAACATATTTAATGTACTCTTCAACTACGTTTTTCTCGGGTATTCTGTATATATTATTTTCACAAAAGACATAGTTATCATCCAAGACTTCATTACATATGAATTTTCTCAATATCGTCATCAAACATCTTCTATCCCAATCATCAGTTACTCTACCACCATAGTTGATATTACCACTGACATACAACATGGCATCCCAAGGCACAGTGTCATTTTCACCTAAAAGCATCTTAATGACTGTCTTTGAAGTATCAAGATCACTATCATTAAATTCATATTTGATATTCCATCCCAAAGGACCAAATTTCTTTCGTTCTTAAATAATGGCATGGAAATAGCACAATCCCATAACTAATTTATGATAGATCTCTGGTTTAGCTGCAGTGTCCAAGAATTCATTTGAAATATCTTATAGAGATCTCTTCAGATTTGCCTTCAGCCCTCTTGGTGGTTCTGTGGTCAATTTGATTCCATTTTGAAGTATACTTACTGGGAAATAGGAAGCAGGCATGGAAGTTAGGAACAACCTATAACTAGGATTTACTGTTTATTTCTTGGCTGTAATATCATCCACCAATTTTTCTAAATCTGGCATAAATGTTCTTGCCAAATGACAATTTTATAATAACACCCAACCTCCTGTTGTCGTGGCGTCATTAATTTGTTTGGTTGCAATCTTACCTTAACCTTGACCCAATGAGATGATAGCTAAGTTTTCTTCAAAGTTTCTTTCCTTTGCAAATTTCAAGATCTGTGATGTTGGATCTGCTCCTTATGATAGTACAAATATGATGGGAGTTGTAACATCAGAATCATTATATAATGTTTCCATTGTTGTGTTTGGAGATTCCAAATAAAATCTCCCAATGTTTTATTCAACATAACTTGAGAGTGCAAATAATATTTTTTCACTTCTAAATATCTTAATAATCATCATTTTCTCAAATTCATCCAATTTGCTTTAATAAGGTTCTTCTAATTTCACAACCAAAGGATCAGATGCTTAAATGTATGTTTTCCATGCAGCCATATTCTTTTATATGTGTTAGCATAATCCTCTAAAGACTTCAAAATTCAGGTCTAAAAATGCAGCTAATTCCCAAGATGATTCCCCTATTAATACTTTATCTGGATTAGCTGGCAATTTAGATTTCTCAATGACTCCTGCTCCTCTCAAAAATGAACTCCAAAGACCATCTGATATTTTGTTTGCCTTTCTGTTAATTTAAGCTGCAATCAAAAATGAATAAATAAGTTTATGCTACTCAAACAATCCTCTGCATACGTTAGTAAAGATTACTCTTGTTATACTATCAATCAAATTAGATAATCTTTGTTATAATTCTTCAGCTGGCTATGCTTATCTCATAGCTAAATTGAACATCACTTAAACGTATTGTAAGGAGTATTGATACATAGGGTCAATAAGATTTAGATCCTTGATTACGAAATACAACACTGAACCTCTCACTGCTACTGATCTATATTCATTACGTACTCTCTCTATAGTTTTCTCTAACACTACTGATTCTTCAATTTTGATATTGCTTTCTTCACTTGTGGTCTTAGCAGATTACAATGAGGTAATCAAATCAACATTGTCTAAAATCTTCTCTGGATCTGCTTCTGCTAACTGTTTTAGAATCATTGACTCAGATTCACTCAACATTTTACGATATTAAGCTAATTTCATGACATTCTCGTCCTTTTGAATTTCAATCTCCTCCTTTTCTAATCTCACAACATCTGCCAATAATTACTCTTCTAAACCTTCAAAGGTGACTGTGAAATTAATCACTGTAACCTTAATGAATACTTCAGGCAAGTATTTTGGATTTGGAATCTTGGTTGTTATAAACAATTTGAAGTTCTTATCAAAATCTATATCAGCTTCACCAAATTTAATCAGAATACGACCATCTGCCTCTTTATATTATTTCTACAATATAGTTTCAATTGAAGGATCCAAATTTTCTTCAATATCTTGAATTAAAATAGGGTATCCATTTGTTATACATAATCTCATGTCAGATTAAAATTTGGGATCTGAGAATTTAACTACTTTCAATTTAAGATCTTGGAATGAACTCTTTATCCAATTATTTGCTTATTATTGTGGGTCAATCATCAAAGGCCATCTGTATCCCTAAGTAGCAAGAATAGAATTCTCTTAAGACACAGAATCGCTTGGCAATTTATGAATTGTCCAATCTCTCAATTATAATGGGTCTCCTAAAGTGCCTACCAGAGTGAATTTCTCAGATACAGGAATTTATGCTTCTCTCACCTTTTCAGACCAATGAGTAATCAATTCATTTCTGTAAGGTCCAGTAAAAGGTCCATTATATGAAATGGAGGCTGCAGCCAAAAAGACATCACCAATTAAATTTATGATGGCTACACCCAATTCATCAACAGTACGTGCCCATCTCTCAGCTTCAGATGCTGTAAGACTAATTAATTTCTAAGCCCTGTCTAATCTAGCCTCAGTTAATAATTTTAAGTTTTCTAGATCTTGTTTCTTTTGAGCCATTTCTGCAGTTTCTTGTTATAATTTCTTAACAGCCTATTTAACTTTCTAAAGTTCAGCTTCCTTAACTGCCAATTCCTTATTTGCTGAATCCAAAACTGCCATCATTTCAGCCACTTTCCTCTTCTTTGGTTCTACTTTCTTACTTACAATAGAGTATGTATTCATAGCCAAACACCATGTTGCCATATCTGCTGCTGGCTTAGCTTTAGTTCTAATTAAATCAGGTACAAAGTCTTCCCTCGAAATGATTTTTCTCAAATTATTGAGTATCTTATCTGGAATATTATCTCTTGGATAGTTCTTCAATGAACTTACAAATGATCCAACATCAATCATAGCCTTTTTTGCAGAATCCCAACTGGTATTTTAGCCTAATAATGTTAAGACAGCCTCAAGAACCATGACGACTGCTTAGGGAGGATTGTTATAAGTTCTAACGATTTTAATTTCATTCTCATCCATTTGTTCAACTGCCTTTAAAGCCTTTTCTAATTCAGGCATGACAACATCTAAATCAGCTTAGGCATCATCAGCTATTATCTTTACATCTTAAGCCTTCTTATTCACTTCTTCAGTTTCAGCTTTAACCAATTACTCCTATTGACTTGCAAGATAAGAATCTTAATTGACTTTTTCAAGAGCCTATTGCACCTTTATTGAAGACTCCTCTAATTGAGGTTTGAGATCAGTAAGGGTCACTTATAAGCCTGCTACTTATTCGTTAGCCATTTTCAATTTAACCAAACCTCCTGAGAGTCTCTTCTATTTCAATTGTAATTCATCTCTTTTTCTTTTTAAACTACTCAAATATAATCCAATCAGATCCAAATAACTTTTAGGAGTAGTGTAAACCTTCCTTTTAAGTGCAGCTTCAAATTTATCTGCACAATCTTTGGCTGATATATGAATTTCCATACACATCTACGCTAAACTATCGATCAATTGTTTCTATGGAATATCTGTTTAAGGGAAATCAGTTTCTTATTATAAAATTTTAGTAGCCACTGAAACCAAAGCTTCTGCTGGCCAACTTGAAAACCAATCTAAAGTACAACAATCAACCATGGCAGGGAATTTACGACATCTAACTCTCAGTGCATCACCTACAGGGGACATGCACAACACAATGTGCAATTGATTTCGAACACTCTCCACAAAAGTCTTATAAAGAGTATCAGGATCTTCAGGTCTCTTTAATCTTGCATTGATTTTCTTAACTTCTTCAAGCAATGGTTACTTTTCTTCAGGTTTCCAAATATTCGGCACTTCTCCTGAATTCAAAATATTGTTGATATCTTCAA